ATTATTGAGTGCTTGCTTTGTGTCAGATACAGTGCTAGAGTGTTTGAAGTTTTAGTCTTTGTTTTGTTTTGTTTTGCTTTTGTGGTGCCAGGGATGGAACCCAGGGCATCACTCACGCAAGGCCAGTGCTGACCACTGAGCTGCACCCCAGCCCTGCCCAGAGTGTTTTAGGGTCCTCGGAGTTTGTTTTAATCAGGTACAGACAGAGCTGACTGTGGTGAAAGTTTATCCCTCTCAGAGCCCTGAGACCCAGATGTGCCAGGCCCCCTAGGAAGCAGCAGGGCCGGTCAGGAAGTTAGAGAGAGTGAGGAGAAAATGTAGGAGAGTGTCCATTGTGGTTTCCACGAGAGGCAGTGGCCAGCAGGTTTTGGGTTGGTCAGTTTGAATAGTTTCAGAGTTCTGGGTCACAGGGCTGCCCCTGTTCCTGTCACAGGTGATTTGACAGGTGGATCCAAGTGTTGGAGCCTGATAAGGATGAGGCTGAGGTTATGGCTCCTGATTAGTGTGTTTTTTCCCTTCCATCCCCTCCCCTCCCTCCCCTCCCCTCCCCTCCCCTCCCCCCCTCCCCTCCCCTCCCCTTCCCTTCCTTGCCCTGTCTCTAGGAACAGAGCTAACCAGAGATGGAACAAGGGCCATCCCTCCAGGCCAGCAAGCCTGAGTCATTAGAACACAAAATGCGATGAAAATGTGGCTTAGCCAGGCACAGTGGCCACACCTTCAGTTCAACACTTGGGAAGTTAAGGCAGGAGGATCACTGGAGTCTGGGAGGTCAAGGCCAGCCTGGACAATGTAGCAACACACTGTGTGTTAATAACAACAGTAAACAGCATGGCTAATACATAGAGACCAGACTTCTGATCTCCAACAAAATTAAAGCTGTGTTAAGCCTCTCCACCAGTCCCAATGGAGGATTCCTTTTTTTGACCTCGTTTTTTAAAGGAAACCTCCTGCTCCACAGGAGGCAGAGGGGCCACTAAGAGCCTGTTGTGGAGGTCAAGAATGCTGGGCCAGGCTGTGTGGGCTGCATTCAGAAACAACAAGAGAAGTGTGGCCACTAGAGATCACGGCAGGTCAGGAAGAGGAGGGGGACATGTGAGAGAGTGGGGGGCAGCAGGCAGGGAGATCAGCCAGGAAGCTATCCAAAGTTAAAGGCAACAAGAGTTCTGCTCCTGCAAGTGATGGAGGAGTGTAACAGAGACTGGAGGCCTCAGAATCTAGAAGGGTTTGGGGACTGATGGGACATACAGACAGAATTAAAGTCAGCCTTGTTTTGATTAAGAACCATCCAGTGTTGGAACTTGGTGTAAATGGTGGTTGTACAAGATGGTGGGTGGGTGAAATTCCACTGAATTGCTGCATGTAACATGGTTGATTTAATGTGATGTGCATTTCACCTGTCTTGGGAAAACAATGCTGGAAAGGGGTCCCTGTCTCACACCATATACCTATCCAAAAAGACCAAACGTTAAATACAAAAGCATGAAACCTTATCAGTAGGAGGAGGAGACAACTTACTTTTGAATGGTCCCCCATATTTACTGTGCATATACACAGAAAACAAAGTGCTGACATTTGAATAAAGAAAGTAAGAACGTGGGTGTGTATGGGAACATTCTCCTGGTGTTTTGTGCATTTAGAATTTTTGTCATAAAATGGGGTGAATTTAGTCAAACTACATTGTATGCATGTGTGTAAATATCGCAATTAATTTAAGCTGATAAAATTTTTTAGGATAAATTTTCGTAATAAATTATTGGAAAAACAAGCAAACTAGGGGCCGTATTTCAAATATTGGGAGTCTTCAGCTCTGCCGTGAGGCAAACAAAGCAAGCTGCAGATCGGGATGGCTGGCTGAAACTTTGTGTTTAAGAACCGTAGAAACCAAGGGTCACATTTGGTTTGTGAAGAGGCTGAGATGCTAAGAATTTGGGGGCAGAGCGGTGATCAGTGGAGGTGGAGTCTGCCTCTTTGTAGGACTGTGACTTTCTGAGTTGTCTTTCCTGAGGAATGAACCCAGGACCTTAGGCTTGCTAGGCAAGAACTGTACCACTTCAGCTGAGCCTCCAGCCCTTTCGTTTGTATTTTGTTTTTGAGATTATATCTTTCTAATTTTTTCCAGATTGGCCCCAAACTTGCAATCCTTTTGCCTCTGCCTCCTGAGTAGCTGGGATAACAGTGGTACACCACCATACCCAGCACGAGTTGTTTTTAAAAGCAGTTTTTCAAGTTGAAAATGAATGTATGAGTGAATGTAGCGCAGGAGAAGCCAGCCAGGGAAAGGAGACATGGACACATAGAACGATAAGAGGAAAACCAAGGGAGCCCGTTGCTGTGGCTTCCATGACAGAGTCAACAGGGAGAGGCAGGGCGGGTTGGTGCCACATGAGCCCAGAGCTGGAAGAGGATGCAGAAGGAGAATCCCAGGATCTGCCCATAGGAGCCTCCGGGGGCTCAGCTGCAGGTGGGGCAGAACCTTCTCAGTTGGAGAGGCGATTTGGGTGGGGATGGTGCTGTGGGTGAAGGTGACCAGAGGCCATGTTGGACACAGTCAATGGGCCGGAAGGGTCTAGAACCAGGAGGAAGTGACCTGCCGATGGAGGAGAAAGCTCTCGGGGGCAGAGGGTAGGAGACTGAGGAGGGTCATTTGAATGGTTTCTGTTGTTTGCAAAGAAAAGCCTGGTTCTATCTGCCAAGACACAAGAGAAGCTGATGAGTTTTGGGAGAATAGAGGCTTATGGAAGTGAGGCAGGGCTACCTGGTTTGAGGACCAAGTACGCATGAACAGGCAGCAGGCACTTGTGTAAATGCACTGTTCACCTGCCCTCGGGACTCCAGCACAGAGACACAGCTACCAGCTCAGTGGCTGCAGCTGGATCCAGGGCAAAGACAGTCCAGGAGGAAAACTGGAGGGGACTGTCCTCCAAAAGTGAGCACAAAACATAATAGGATGCAGCAATCCACCTCTGAGCACAGACCCCAAAGAACTGAGAGCAGACGTGAACCAGTGTTTGCAACACACGTTTGCAGCAGCCTAGTCACAATAGGCAAAAGGTGGGAACAGCCCAGGTGTCCAAGGGCCAGGCAATGGATTGACACAGTGGTCGATCCAACACAACGGTGTGTTGTTCAGCTGTGAACAGGAAGGAAATCCTGACTCACGGGACAGCATGGATGGACCTGGAGGACATTATGAAATAAGCAGACACCAAAGGGCAAATGCCGTGTGAACCCACTCCTACGAGCTTCCTAGAGCAATAAAAGTCATGGGGACAGAAGGCAGAAAGGGGTGTTGGGCTCAGGCAGGGGTGGGAGAGCTAGTGTTTAATGAGTGTCATTAGTCTGCCAGGGCTGCTATAAAAATGTCCCAGACTGGGGGCTTAAACAACCGACACCTATTTTCCCCTGGCAGTCCAAGATCTCAAGGTCAGCAGGCTGACTCCTCCTAAGGCCTCTCCCCTTGGCTTGGAGCCACCACCTTGTCCCTGATCCTCTCACGAGTGGCCTTCTGTGTGTCTGGGTTCAGAGTTCCTCTTTTCATAAGGACACAGTCACATTGGTTTAAGGACCATCACAGGACCTCTTTTTGAGTTAATCACCATTTAAAGGCCTCATCCTCAATTCTAGTCCTATCGTGGAGGTGTTCAGCAAATCAATTTACAGCACAAGGGACACATAACTGAGATTGTAACAGTTGATGTGGAGTTTCAGCCTGGGGTGGTGATGGAAACCGTTCCTAACCCTATGAATGAGCCTAATGCCTCTGAACCAGACACGTAAAGATGGCTAGCATAATAAAAGTTATATTGCATACCTTTTACCACAAAAAGTTAAAAAAAAAAATTAAGAAGATGAGGAAGCCTCAGGCTGGGTATGGTAGCACACATCTGTAATCCCAGCACTCAGGAGGCAAGAGGATAGTAATTTCTGGGCTACAGAGTGAGACCCTGTCTCAAAAAGACAAACAACAACAACCCCTGGCAAAAAAATCCCTCAGACAGGCAAGAGGACCGGGGGTTTTGCTGAGGTGGTGGTAGAACTGTGGGACCAGGTAGATAGGCAGGGAGACTGGATGGCCAGGCACTGGGAGGGTGGGGACACAAGGCAGACAGGACAGCAGCAAACAGGAGTGTGGGGTCTGGGGGCCATAGGGTTTCCAAGTTGGGATCTGGGCAGCCGGACCCCAGCCACCATCATGTCCCTGGTATGACAGCCCCTGTCCCCTTCTGTGAAAGGAGCATTTCTGCCTGTCCATGGCAAAGTCCCCTCATGGAAGTGGCCTGAGGCTGAATGAGCAACACCTTCAGTTCCCGGCAGGATGACTGGACTACCTCCTCCTGCCAGTAGCCCCAGTTCTCTAGAAACTCGCCCCTCTTTTACAGTTTCCAAGCTGTCACCTGGGCTGCCAGTGGTTGTGTCTATAATGACTAATGTCCTTCACAAAGGGCTAAGCAGAGGGACCCCGAGCAGAGGACAGCAATGTAAGAGGGACAGGATGTAGCCTTGTTTTATTGGCTGCTTCCTTGAGATTTCTGCCCTACAGACCTGACCATCTCCTTCAATTTTATGTCTGTCCTGTGGTCTCCACCTAATGCTGCAGAGCGAGGTGACAGAACACATACCTCAGCTGGTGAAAAGAGCAGCACAGCTGTGAGGGGCCAGGAACTGGGAGCCCTAGGAGGTGCCGAGGCTCACTGAGTCCTACGCTTGCCCTTTTGCAGGAATGTCATGCAGAGGCTCTGGAGTGCCTGTCCTCTTTCTTCCTTGGAAACTGCCCCCAAGGAAGATACCATGGCTGAGTGCAGCGTCTGCATCGTGGTACCCTTGCTTCCTAGCTATGATCCCGGGAAAGTTCCTTAATGACTCTGTGCCTTGATTTCCTAATCTGTAAAAGAGGCAGGAAAAGAATCCAGAGTTCAAGGGTAGCTGGAAAGGGGGAAATGAGAGATACTCGTAGGACTCCATTGGCAGCCCTGACTTCTCTTTCTCCACTTCCTTTCCAGTTGGCCACGGACAGAGTGAGGGGGAGAGGATGGTGGTGTCTGACTTTCACGTCTTCGTCAGGGATGTACTGCAGCATGTGGACATGGTTCAGAAGGACCACCCCGAGCTCCCTGTCTTCCTTCTGGGCCACTCCATGGTAAGCAGACCACAGAGTGCAGAGACCCAGTTCAAGGCAAGCCTGGTCCACAGCCTTGCACCTGACCTCCTGCCCCGTTTGCTCTCTTCCTGCTGTCACGCTCCCTTTGCACACCCTGCACATGGAGTCCCCAGGCAACTTAGTGCTTAGGAAACGAGCCAGGGCCTGGCATCTGTCCCTGAGCTTGGGTACTGCCCACTGCTTCCCGGTCAGGCTGCAGGGGCCATCAGGTGGCTAGCCAGACCTCATTGAGGAGCTCAGGGAAAATGGTATTGCATAGATGTCCTTTGTTCCTTGGTGTCATTTCATAGTGAGGCCAGTAAGAGCCACTTCTGCCACTTCTCCACGGGGTAGTGGGGGGAGGGGACAGCTCCTTGGTCAAGGGTGTTGAACCCTTGGTTTAAATAACCGTGAGCTTCAAACAACAGAGCAGCCCTCTCTCCTGCATCCACATCCACTGTGTATTTTTCCCAGGACCTAAATTTCTATGGAGCAATCTATGGTTATGATTGGATTTTACACAAACACACATACACACACCCCGCCAAAAAACAAAAACTTCATTTCAAGCTCATCAGAGTGGATGAGTTGCAGGTCTGCCAGCTTTGGGCTTGGAATACAAATGGAATGTGTTATTGTTTAACTTGTGGCCTACAAGCAGGAGCCTTATTTATATCTCTCTGAAATGTTTGCTCTTGGAAAACCGGGTGGGGGGGGGGAGAGCATGTAATGAAATATCTGCAAATCTAGTTTACCCTGCATCCAAGGCCATCTATCCCAAGGTAGTCCTCTTCAGAGCTCTTGGCCAGGACCGAAGCCTAGGAGGCCTGCAGGGATCGCATTTATTAGAGATCGTCTGCTGGTGCAAGCCAGCACGTGGCCATTCTGCCCATTTTGCATTTCAGGGAGGTGCCATCGCCATCCTCACGGCCGCAGAGAGGCCCGGCCACTTCTCTGGCATGGTCCTAATTTCACCTCTGGTCATCGCCAGCCCCGAATCAGCAACAACTTTCAAGGTAAAAGGACATTCCTATCTGTACTGTTCCTGCAGGTTCCTGGGACATGGACTGTCCATTTATAGCTGGCCTGGGTCAGTGGACCAAAGGCCATTCCTGAGCTATGTACACTATTGAGCAAGAGTTTGGACAAATATCAAATACTGCTGCCACTGGGATCTGTCATTTCTGAAGTCAGGTGTGTCTTCCCCAAACACAGAGGAAAGTGCCTTCCTGTTTGCGTCTGTTTTACTGGCAAAAGTTAACGGGAGAAAAGGTCACATGCATTCTGTGTCCAGCAAAGTCACACTTGTTAACAATTCACATTCAAGACTTGAGCTATTTTGCCATGAAACTTCAGCAGAAAGGGACTAGTGAGGGGACTTGTGAGCAATTCCCAGTTGTTGTGCACCACCTGTGCTCACATAGGTGAGCGCTTTCAGCCTTTGACTGTAATGGACACACCCTGCTTTTCTGGATTTAGTGTTCCGTGTGAGCTGCACACATGGTTGATGCCCAGGCAAATGAGCCAACAAACAACGCCTAGAACTAGACTGGTCCCTTCTATCCCAGACAAAGGAGATGAAGCCAGTGGTCCCGCTGGGCTGCCTCCAGACGAATATGGGCTGTTGACATGGCGTCAGCGTAGATCTGTCCTAGCAGGGCGTGAAAGCTAAGTGTAGATGCCAGACAAGCCCCGCAAGGGTGGAGTTATTCAGCCCCGGGTACCCCCTGGAAAGCCCAGCTCCCCCTGCGCTGCAGATTCTGGCTGCCTGCTGAGCCAGGGCTCAGAGGGAGCAAAGGTGAGGTGGTGGGTCACGGGGTCAGGTGCATGGGAGGACCCAGCCCCACAGGCCTCACCACCAAATGACAGAGGAGCCATTTAAATCGTGGCATTAGCTCATGTCCCTGGCAATCTCCTTGGGGCTGAGCAGTGGAGCACAGTACCAGAGGGGAGCCATAAGAATATCCCACTATTCTTCCGGTCTAGGACCATAGAGACCTGCTTCCACTTAGATCCCGAGAATCTCTGAGATCTGAAACGGAGATGGGCTGGGCAGAAGAGAAACCTGGGGCACTCCCACAGTGAAACTGCCTGAGAAGAGAGGGGGTGGCTCACTTGAAGGAGCTTCCTGTGGGCTACAGACCACAGGGGACAGGTGACTTATGACCAGTAGTAAGTCTCAGGGCTGAGTGGGCTCAGCAGAGGTCTGCATGGGACGTTCTGGTCCCTGAGCGTGGAGAGGAACACAGTGTGATCCCTGCATTGTGTAAATGTGTCAGGCGCGTGACCTACCCAATGCTCCCTGAAGGACTGTGACTAGGTGGCATGAGGCCAAATCAGTCACCAGTTCTTACCTAAGTGGCATGGGGCAAAATGGTCCCTGAGGAAGGTCCCTGAGAGCACACTCCACAGCTCTCTGGCGATTTGGTTTTGGAGGCCTGTGTTACTCAGCACAGCCAGGCCTGTGCTGTCCGTTACTTACCTCAGCCTAGGGGAGGATGAGGACCAGTGTTCCAGGAGGGGAAACTGAGGCCTGAGGAGGCTGAGTGACTCACCAAGATCAACACCACCTGTGTGAGGGATTTGGATCTGGTGGGCCAGCCCACTCCATCTGTGTCCCCACAGAAGAAAATGGATGCTCCTACAGTGGATGTTTCCCTTGGAGAAGAGCCAGGATCTAGAAAGCCTTTCAGATACAGTGCACAGAGGACATGGCCCCAAGGAAGGACTGGCCGTGTTTCCCCCCAGAGTCCCCAAGGGCTCCCAGGAGGACCAGCAGAGGCGGCACTTCTGGGAAAGGCCAGCACTGTGTGACCTTCCAAGCCTGGTGCTAATAGATCACCTTGTCAAATCAGGAGCCGGCCGTCCCTGGAGGCACAGGTCTCTGCTTATTAACCAAGACAAATCAGATTTCCCTTTGCCCAACCTGGGCGCCTCCTGCCCTGGATCTGTTGCTGCTTGCAGGCCTTGGTGGTTTCTGTTGACACGGTCTGTGATTCATTGGTCCACCTGCCCTGGGACACTCGACTGCCCTCCACATGTGGTCTAGTCTTCTCTGGCAAGCTCCCTGAAAGAACACCCCAGAATCTTTGGCTTTTAAGTTTAAGGATAATTTGTTCATTCAGTTCCACATTCAAGAGACAACCAAGGGCAGCTCGGTTGTTGCATGCAGCGCTGCATCTGCAGCCAGTGCACATTCCACTTCTGTCTCTGTGCAGATGGGAGGTGCTCTGCAGGCTTTGGGAGCATTTCTGGTCTCTTTTTCTTCTTTTGGTTGGCATGTTTGCTTTTGTAGGGGGGAGGGAGTCTGGTTTTATTTTGCCATTTTTGTTTAGCCACACTTCTTGGTGCAACTCCCCTGTCAGCATTTTAAAAGGGTCCCCCTTTAGGGACAGCTCCTGATTTAGGTCCAGTCGCTGATGATCCAACTTCAGGTCATTTCCAGTCGCTTTGAGTCTCAGGGATGGAGCCGCCTTCTGCCTCTATGTTCTGGGGGGACAGTGGTGGGTGAGGGGCTTCCATGCATCTCACTGTGAAGGGGCAGCAGAGCACAACCTGGAGCTCAGACCTCACTCATCAAGCTGTTCAACAAGGACTGGGATGCAGCCCAGTGGCGGAGCACTTTGCCTAGTGTGTATGAGGCCCTGGGTTCCATCCCCTGCACCAAACAACAAAACAAAACAAAAAGCATCCAACAGCTTTTTGGTGCCAAGCACCTGTTAGAGCAAGTCCCGCAGTCAATAAGGTAGGCAGCCTGAGCCACTGTGTCTTCAAGCACAGACGGGTGCAAAAAATGACCAGCCCACACACCTGGGACAAGTGGCTGTTGGTCACCCCCCACCCCGAAACCTCACTGCCTTCTGGGTCTCACATCGAGGCTATTTTCAACAGCCGAGATATATTTAGCACTGAGCAAGAGACAATGAGGATGGAGGCTGGCCCGCACTGTCTGCCAGGATGAATTTTCACAAAGACAGTGGCAACTTAGACATCAGAAACAAAAATTCCAAAGAGGAAGTCTCAGCTGTTTGTGAGACCTTTCTGTGACGATCTTCTCTGTGGGTAACACCTGGTACATAGGTGGAGCCCCTGGCTGTCACCCTGGGACTCTGGCCTCTGCTTGTCTGGGACATCATCCAGGAGAGGGCCACAGGTTACAGGCCCCATCTTTCTCTGGAAGCCTCAGGGGAGGAGGCTGGGGCTCCACCTGCCAGAAGGGAAATATCTCAAACACCTTGCTCTACCCAGGGTCCTGGGAAGGGTGTAGGAACTGGCCGGTGATACAGGACGCCCCTCCCAGCCCCACTGGGCACCTTGCCAAGGTAGGCAGAGGGCGTTGTCACTGTGAGAGAGGTTACAAAGTCTCAAGGTTCCAGTGCCTGGGCACAGTTTCCTCTCAGGCACCGCCCTGGAAGGAGAGGAAGCAATTCCCATTGTTCTGCTCAAGGTCAGCTCGAGCACCGTCAACCAGTGAGCACAGGAACATCCTTTCACCCCAAAACCAGCAGCCCTTGCCTGGAGCCCACTTCCCATGTGAAAGTCAGGAGTCTGTTGTTGGTCACTGGACTCCAGACGGCCCTGGGGCAGCAAGGGCTGGAGGGAAATGGAAGGAAGGGGACACTGGTGCTCTTTCAACCTGCAGGTGAATGTAGACCCAGGAACCAGTGCTTGGCTGTGGTCCTGAACTGGCCTGTTGGTCAGCAGCCATGAGCTTTGGATGGGACCTTTCCTCTGTCTACAGGCATCAGCTGTCTGGCTGCTGCAGGCTCAGATTCCTGCAAACATATGATTCAAAGAACGAGCCACTTACCCAGCAGGTCCCCTCAACACACGTCACCGAGCCCCTGCTCAAAGTCCTGTCTTCCTTGGGAGATTCATGGGAAGGCACCAGACATTTCCTTTTGTAGGCCTCGAGATGTGCTTTTCCTCCCAAGAAAATCTGGTGTGACCCTGAGTGTCACAACTATAGCTGTCCCTTGTCCCCGGTCACAAAGCGTGGAGCCCTGGCCTCCGTCCCACAGGTCAGCTTGCTGGTTCTGCATTAGAAGAAAGAGATGGTAATTACCTCCTTGTGGCAAGTGCTTTGCTGGCAGATGCTTAAAAATGATCCAGGGAGCCATTAAAACCTTCAGGATCAATAAAGGCACTTGTGCGTGTCTGTTGTGCTTACAGTGACGGACGCTCAGTTGACCCAGGATGTCCCCAGTATGAGTTGAGGACTCGCATGTCCCCTAGTGTCCTGCTCACTGGGGGGGTCAACTTTGGTCATAGGAGAGCTGGTCTTGTTCCTAAGGGGCTGTGCTGTCCCTTGCTTTCTCTGCTTGAAATGCCATTTGCTTCCTCCGTCAGTTTACCCACAAGTATTTACTGGGTTTCTTTTCAGGGACAAGAGGGGAGTAAGGGATCCGCTCTGTGGGGATTGGGTCCATCTGACCCTCCCGGCAGTACTTTGGGTTTGGATTTGTTATCCCCTTTTTACAGATGAAAAAAAGTGGGGTCACAGGCTTCCTCAGGGATTCACATCCAGAGTTGAATCCATCTGCCTCCCACCCCCTTGTCTGATTTCCCACATCATGGCCTCTTCCAAGGTCAGGATCTAGCAACTGAACAGCCTATCGTCACAGGTCTTGCCCCCACATTGTTCTCAGGCGACATCACCTGGGCTCTGGGTGAAGTTGGCATCTTGGGAGCTTTGGGGTGGCACGAACCTGACTTGGTATGTTGGGGTCATGGGAAGTGGGGCTGATGTCAGCTGGGCAGTGGGGCCATCCAGGCCTCCTCTCTCCCATGCTGGGCCCAAAGCTCTCTCCACACCCCACAGGACTATCCAAGGATTCTGAAAGACTCGTTTGAAAAAGCAGCGAGATTGGTATTGTTTTGGATCCCATTAACACTTCAGTTATCGGTGAGCACCTCCCTCTGAGTTCCTCATCTGCCCTTGACACTGGGGGGCAGGGCTCTTGCTGCCGGTGCTGGAGGCTGAGGGAGATGATCACAGTCACCAGGTGGAGACACCATCACTTTGTCCAGGTGTGGGGTTGCTGTGGCTTTCTTTCCCACTGCCTCCTCACTGTGTGGCCTCCAGGCCACTGCTCAGCCCCCCCTGTGCTCCCTCATCCACAATTGGCCTGCTTCTGCTGCTCAGGCCCTTCTCCTCCCTCTCTTCCTCCTCCCTCCTTGTGAATCAGCAAACCTTAGGGGAATTGGGAAGGGGATCTCATTTGCAGTTGTGCACAGCGTCCTGCCCCAAGTGACAGCTCCCGTTTGTGGGGGAAGAGGCTAAAGCACCTAGTTTTGCCTTTAAGCAAGATGTCATTGTCATCAAACAATTTGCTTCTCTGTAGTTGGTTCTTACTAGGTGGATTTAAAACATCCCTTGGGCCAGCCTGTCCTTCAGGGACATTTGTGCATCCTCAGAAGGAGCTGTCAGGCTTGCTTCTCCTACTCTGAGGTTTCCTCAGCTCCTGTCCTGGAATGGTGTGTGTACCCTGGGCTCCCCATCCAGCCTCTCTGTGGCCTCTCTCGGTGCTGACCTGCACCAAGCAGCCATTGATGTGCTGAGACCTTCCTGTTCTCAGGTGGTGTCCAGTGGGGCGCTGGGACAGGACTTGACCCCGACAAAAGGCAGCATTCCTGCAGGGGGCTGCCCCCCACCTGTGTCTGTGATTAGACAGCCAGTCCAATCCTCACAGTTGGCCCCTGGGCAGTCCTTGTTAGGAGCTGGTCCTTAGAAGCACACATTCCCACCCTGAGCCTGTAGCACCAGCCTCTCCAGGGTGGTGAGAATGCCGCTCCAGGACGGCTCCTTGTGGCGGTGAGCATTCAGGGGGACGTGATTCAAGAGAAAGGTAAGTTGTTCTCTTTGCAGATGACCAATCCTGAAGCTGGGCCCCCATGTCTGTGCCCATGCTCCTGTGGAATCAGGTGACAGGGCCTCCAAAATGTAACTCGCTGGCAAACAGGAATCTGGTGGTGGGCTCGGATGAAATGGAGCAGGCACTGTGTGCTCCTCTTCCTCTCCTCCCTCACAGGGCCAGGCCTGCTCCTCCTGCCTCTCCATGAAGGTGGCTTGGACTCCCATCCTGCCTGTGGGTGGTTGGCAGCAGCAGCACGGCACTGCTATGGACAGCTGTCCAGCAGTGGCCTGAGTGATGAGGAGCCTTTTGCCATTGAGTCTGGGGATAGGTAGGAAGCCGGCTTGCCGTCCTGGAGACGGCTGCTCTGGCCCGGGAAAGCAGCAGCTGGGACCCACACGTGTCCTCCTGTGATAATGTGCTGCCCTTCCTGAGTGTGGCAGGAAGAAGCCCACTCAGCCCTCAGCCCCAGGTCAATGCAGGAGCTGTGGAAGGGTCATCTCAAACAGCACAACACCCGCAAGTTGGTCCCATGCACCTTTGCAGTACACGTCAGGACCCATCTGTGGTAACACTGCCTGTGGAAGCTGTTGCTCAAGGAGACAAGGTTTCTGGAGAGTTTGCCCTCGTGCAGGTGGAGACCATGAAGGTCACAGGCCTACAGCCCATGGCCTCTCTGCATGACCTGCCCTATTTTCTCTTTCTTTTTAGATTTTTGTGACTTTTGAAAACACAGATCCCAATTCCAGAAATTAAGTTTCAAAAAGAGCACCCTGTTCTTGGAGTTGACATACGTTTTTGGAAATACCCCAATCTTTGTGGGGCACCCCCAGAATTCTGAGCCGTTAGCTCCCATGCTTGTGTGCAGAGCTGACTGACAAGATCTCAGCTCCGGGACATGTGACACTGTGTCCTCCCCAGAGACTTCAGACTCATATCCCACCACAGCCCCCAGTTCAGGGCTCCCAGCTCCTCATAGTTCTACTCCAGAAGGTCCAAATTCAGAGCCCAAGGCTTGACATAGGCCCCGGACATCGGCAGCAGTGGTCGACGCGAGTGGGCTTTGGTTGCTGAACATCAAGATCGGGTGCGGCGAGCTGTGGTATTGTCAGGGGCGGGGCTCTAATGTCTGGCTTGTACCGTTTGAGGAAAGGCTAGGTGACCGTGTGGAGTTTAGGATTGGCTCAGGTGTGTGGGGTTCTGCAGGAGTTACTCTCTGCCTGGCCCCTGGTGTCTGAGGAAGTAGGAGGGGTGAGGCTGTGGGTGCACAAGGAGGATAGGGGACGCCCAGCAATGGCGTCACCTGGAGAACATTGGTGGTGCTATGATTGGTTACCCTCAGGAAAGATAAGCATGCTCGCTTGCATTGATGGAGAGAAACAGAGAGACACAGAGACAGAGGAAAAGAGAGAGAGAGAAAAAGAGAGAAAGACCTACCCAGGCCATGTGGCATGAAGGACTAGAGTGGCCTCGCCTCGGCCTCTGGGCCCCTCCTACTGAGCATGAGGTGCTAAGCCTCCAGCTTCCTGTCTACTAAATGAGGATAAAGCCTCACCTCACAGTATTTTGTAAAGGTCGAGACCTGGCACCCATACCATGCTCACCGTGCCAGGGCTGGATCCTGGGTAGGTGTGCCCTCCATGTTTCCTGAGAGTCAAAACCCCACACCTTTCATCGATTCTGATTTCAGCATTTCACAGCTCACTTTTGAAATAGCATTTTTGCCCCAAGTGTGCACACTTTGCAGCTCCTCTCTGTAGACAGACGCATGAGATCCGGGTTCTGTGTTTTTCTGGAAACACATGAGATCCAGAAGGAGAAAGGTGGGGGGAGGTGAAGGGACTTGAATCAGGCTCAGGCTCAAGGAGCACATGTGAAGCACCGACTGTGTGCCTGGCTTTCCCTTCCCTGTGGCGCCCACGGGGGAGACACAAGGTCCCCACTGGCAGCTGAACACATGGAGGTGCATGGATGCTGAGGGCCTGGCGTGTCCTCCACCCAGCAGAGCCAGAATCAAAGCTGGGTCTCCTTCCCTCTGCCATACAACCTCCTACTCGGGCTGGTGACAGTTTCTCTTTCTGTGCTGTAGAAGCCCAGACCACCCTCCATTCCCTCTGACCCAAGCTGCCTGCTTCCTTTGCTCTCTGCTGATCTGAATGATTGTGCCCCCGGTGGATATTTTTAGTGCCCCAAGAAAGGGTTGTGTGTGAGAGCACTGCCATGGCCACAGCTCTCACCATAACTCATAATTGCAGCTGATATGTGATTGTGGGGAAAGGTACCACACAGAACCCAGAGCAAGACATAGACCAGACGCTCCTGCCCCAGCATGGCGTCCACCTTGCCAAATCCCCAAGGAGGAGCCCCCAGGATGGGTAGATCAAGGCCAGCTGGGTCACAGGGAGTGTCCTGTGGGTGCTCAGCCTTGGGGAAGCAGCCTGGCCAGTGTTCAGCTTGGGCAGGACTCTCATTTAATGTCCTCTGCCACCTAGGACATGGATGCTGCACGTACTCACAGCCCTCCTTTGTCTTTCGTCCAGGTCCTTGCTGCAAAAGTGCTCAACCTCGTCCTGCCAAACATGTCCCTGGGGCCCATCGACTCCAGTGTGCTATCCCGGAACAAGACAGAGGTGAGAGTTCGCTGAAAAGCTGGGGTCACTGGTAGCTGCTGAGTGAAGGCAGCAGCCTGGTGGGAAACCCAGGCTTTGGCTCTGTCCTTGACATTCTGCAGTGTTCATTATGGCATCTTGCCAAGTGATGGGGACACAAAGACATAAGTTATGTCATCGGCTTTGGGGTTGGGAACTTGAACCGTGTCCTGACATGCCAAGGAACTAACCAGGACGCTGTGTGTGTGCCGGTCAGCTCTCTTGGTTGCACATGACAAAAACCCAAGCCAAAAGGATGTAAGCAGAAGGAGGGAGTTATCGGTAATGCACACTAAAGGCTTCAGGTATGGCTAGATCCAGGGAAGCAAAAGTCCTGCCCCCTGTCTACCTCTCCCCAGCTCTCACACCCCCAGCCACTTTACCTGAACCACCCCAGGGCAAAGACAGCCCCTCTTTCTAGCCAGAGTTAGGGTGATCCTTGCCAGCTGGCTGTCCAGATCTCGTTGTCAAGGACAGTGGAGGCAGATCCTTTGATAGGGGTTCACAGACAAAGGACAGGCCTGATTGCCTGTAAGCAGACTTGCCTGGTGTTACCTCACTGTAGCCTGAGGATTTGTGTTGCCTGGGGTGGGGGAGAAGGGTCCCTGTGGGCTCTCAGCCAGCAACCCTGGACATGTGGAGGACACCAGGATTATGTTCATGATGCAGCAAATCAGTCTGCCACTCTTCTGCCTCAGTTTCCCCTCTCGTCACTGAATTAGTCACCCCCTAGGGGCCCTAGGAAATGAAGTAGGGTGCGCCAGCATTCCAGTAGCCAACCCTGGTTTCCCTGAGCAGTCAGACTCTAGCTTGGTTATAAGGTTTGGTCTCCTGGCCTCTGGGTCACTTAGAAAGTGGGCACATCATGGGGGACAGTCCCCAACCTGTAGGGGTGCCGTGCTAGATGGAGGGTTTAAACATCAGCAGGGCTTGGGGCTGCAATGCACAGTCCTGGCACCAAGAAGGAAAAACAAAAGTCATGCAAGGTGAGTCCAGAGAGCCGCCAGGCCTGTGGAAAGCCGGAGCACATCGGTCCCAGGAACCAGCCGTCTTCTCTTAAAGGTTTAATATAATTTAATGTGAAAACCCAGCGTGCCTCCCAAACCCACATCTTAGGGCCAAATTTGATTCACCAGGGGCCAGTAAGTGTGGCCCTTGTCTTTCTGGATGAATATTTGAATAAGAAAAAGATTAATTCTGAAAAGCAGGTCCACACTGTGAAAAGGTACAAGTATAGGCCCAGAAGACCAAAGTCAAACACAGGCTGATGAGGTTAGTCAGCGTGAACTTGGCCTGCCCACGACACAGCTTCACAGATGAGGAAGGAGAGGGTCGGGAGGGTGGGCAACCTCCCACCCACGGTCCCAAAGTGTCCAGGGTGGCACTGCCAGGCTGGGGCTTGAACCCATGTGATCCACAAGCCATGCTTCAGTGCCCAGTTCCAGCAGGTGTGTTTGATCACAAAACTTCTTCCTGTTTGTGATGCTGCCACAGAGCCCACATCTGGGACTATTGCTCAGTGGGTAGCATCCACTTTGTGAGGGCCTTTGGTGGAGACAGGGGTCCTCCCCCTGCCCACACCTCAAATAATGGCCCAACTTGAGTATGGAGCCTTTGGCAGACCCAGATGCCACACCGCAGCTGTGCCATAATGGCAGTGAGGGAAGGAGGGCTGGAGGGAGAGACAGAGACAGAGAGGAGGGGAGAGAGACTGAGAGACAGAGAGGGAGGGGAGAGACAGAGGTAGAGAGAAACAGAAGTAGGAGAAAGAAAATGAGAGAGAGGGAGAAAGACGGTGAGAGAGAGAGGGACAGAGACAAAATGGAGAGAGACAGAAAAAGGGGGGAGAGAGACAGAGAGGGAGGGAAAGAGACAGAGGGAGGGGGGAGAGAGAAGGAGAGAGACACGAGAGAGGAAGGTGGAGAAAGAGAGGGAGAGAAGGAACTAGAACAGAGTCTTTGGTTTGAAACATCTGGTTGTTACCTTTCCACCTGAAAAGACCTGGATAGGGGGAAGAGCTAAAGAGAAAATAAAATGACTCCAAACCCTCTGCTGAAAAATATCAAATAACCAATATTAAAAATAACTCGAAGGCCTCATGATGTGAACCTGACTGTGCCACCTGCTGGCCTCTGCTGTCATGGCCAGGTTTCTGGCTGGTAGGTCAAGGTGGGGTTGCTAGGAAACCCTGCTGGGAGAGCAGGAAGGGAGGCAGCCGGGCCTGGAGACCAGCTCCAGGTGGAAGGCCAAGCACAGGGGTTCTGCACCTCCCCTCCGAGCCGGCGCCTCTGGACTCTTCCTTTGAACACTGCCGAGTGTCAAAAATAGCAGCGGTGCTGAGGGGAGCTGTGTTCAGCAGAGGCACCTCCCGGAGCTCACGCCAGGGAGCCTCGAGGCTCATCTTTTAGCTAAGATACTTCCCACGGAACCCTGCAGCTATAAAAGCCTGAAAAGGCAGATAAATGTTCTCCGCAAGCTGGCTGACGTGGACTGTGGCTGGCGGGGCAGGAGCCAGGATGGGTCTGCAGTCCCAGACAGGAGGGTGCAGCCGGTGGGAACCTGGCTGGCTCTGTGGCTGGATGTCACAGCGAGATGCTTGTTTGGGGTTTGCTGTGGCAAGCGTTCACACAGCCCACCCAGGACTGTTTGCATCACTTCACAGCTGTCACTCCCGGAGGCTCCTGCTCTCCCCGTGTGTGAAGCCTCCAGAAGAAAGGCAGAAAAAGCCCTCTTCTCATCTCCACGTCACCAGGGCACACTGATCACACCCTTCTCTGTGCCAGACACCATAGCCTTTCTGGTCTCACCATAACCCTGGGAAGTCAGCTTATTGCTGGTATTTGATGTTGTGGAAGTTTGGGCCCAGGGAGGGCAAGTCAGTCAGCCAAGCACAGAACTCTGAAGTAAGGATGTGAATCCCTCCGACTCTGAAAGCCTTGAATGTGATTCTAGCTCTTTGTCTGGCCAAGGACACTGGGGAGGAAGGAGGAGGAGGGAGGAGGAGGGGTGGCCGGGCCTCTCCTGCACAAAATCCTTGATAACCACCCAGTTACCAGGACAGCGCACGCTGCTCTCTTTCCAAGCCCCTGCTCCGTCCTTCCCCAGCCCTGGGCATGGGCCGGGGCAGAAGTGTTGTGGCTCATCCTGCACTGTGGCTTCTGCATCCAAATCTGCTCTCTGTGACACCGAGGTGTCCTCTGAGCGCACCCTGCTGGCTGTGCTCGCGCAGGCACTGGCCGGCCATATGGTCCTCTCGCTGCTAGGGTGGGCGCCGCTCCTCGACCACACCCAGTGTTTCACGTGTCAGTGTCGAGGATCAGGCTCCCGTCCTTCTGTCCCCACGTGTCCCTCACACACACTGCCTGGTGCCTCGGAAGGCTCCTGCCGGGTCTTGAAAAGCTTGGCCACACTGAAGCCTTCAACTAATTGCAGCACAGCTAAAGATAGGCCCGGCCTCCCACTCTGTCCCCAGGACACCACCTCCCACAGAAGTCCCCCCCAACCGGGCCATTAGCTTCCCGATAAGCTTGGTTTGCAAAGCCCATTTTATTCTGTGCCTCTCTGTCATTCTTGCATTAACCACGGAATGCCTGTCTATCTGAGACAACAAAATTTTGCTAATGCCCTTTTAGGGACAACAAGCCTTTACAGTGTCTCTGGGAGTGGGGCGCTCCGGTGCTGATGGGAGCAGAGAGCACGTGTATCTCTGCATTGCTTCTGCACCCTGTGTCCTGTGTCCCCCACCATAAGCCCAGCTGCCAGCTCCTTCCACCCCCAGGGCAAGGCTGGAGCAGCTCTGAGTGCGGGAGGAACAGGGCTGGGGCTGGAGGCTGCAAAGGCAGTGGAAAAACTGGTGCACGGAGAGGCCATCTGGACAGCCCCAGCCGCCAGCCAGACCCAAGACAAAGTGCACGCCTGTGGCCGCAGCCCGAGCAGACCCTGTCTATGGAGGACACGAGCCTCACGCTTGACATGACTCCTGGACACAGCCCGGCCGAGTCCAGTGGGAGCTGCATCTTAGCGCTGGAGCGGGCTGGGCTGCTCTGAGACCCAGCTTCCATTGTCCTGGTCATGTCCCCAAGGGGACACACCGAGACTGATGGAGATTCTGTGTTGAGCTTTTAAGGACCTGCCACGCCGTGTTCTGCAGCCATTGTGCTGTCTGCCTCAGCATGCATTGCTCCAACACTTGTTCTGTGACAGGGATTTTTGTTTGGTTTGGTTTGGTTTTGGTGTTGGGGGTGGAACCCAGGACTGGGAGCATGCCAGACTGTGGCCTGTGTGTGAAGGGCAAATATTCCTGTGACAATCATGACCCTTAGGAGTTTTTGATTTAAATTTTAGGTAGGTAGGTAGGTAGGTAGGTATCTATCAATGGGAGCCCAGCCTCGGTGGTTGAAATTCCTGAACTGGACAGGAACCTTTTGGAAATGGGGCTTGCCTCCCACCCTCCTCTTTTTGATGTAAGAGCCAGGGGAAGGAACACAGCCAAGACTCTGAAAAGGAGCCTGGCTTTGGGGTGCAGGGGTCCAGTACAGTGAGCCCCTGGGCCAGCAGCGGAGCTCCAGGGCAGAGCTGGGCAGACCTCCAGAGCAAGGAAGGCCAAGAAGGGTTTGGGGACACCGGCCTGTCCAGGCTCTGGGAAGGCCTCCCTTCCTGGTGAAGTCTTAGCAGAAAGAGGAGTGCACAATTTAATCAGACCAAGAGCAGGGAGATGGAAGCCCTGTGCATAAGAAAGGTTTTTCTGACGGGAAACGGTACACCCATCTCCCACCATTCAAGGCAAAGAGATGAACAGACTATCTCTTCTGACACCTGCCAGTTCATGGTAGGCTTCTCACAGGTTTCTCGATGTCACCAAGATGACTTGGGCAGAACTATCTGATTTCTCTGTGATGAAAATAGATAGGTTAAGAGAGATCTAAACAATGGAGGAAGGAGGTGGACATTCTAGGATGGACTCTGAAGCATCCATGGCAGGGTGAGGAAGAGAGAGAGGACTAGAGGAAGGAGGAAGAGCCATCTCTGGACACATCTGTAGGTGGCTGGGGGAATGGCAGATTAAGCCTCCTGGGCTATATTTCTCTGTGATTAGGGAGATGGGGAGGACAGGTATCGATCTGCCCGCAGGGGCTCCCCATCCCCTTTGCTGGCCGTGGGGCCTGTCAGGTCACCGCACAGTCTCCTAGCCTACACCTTATGGTCCTCACCAGGCCAAGCCTGTCCTCTTGGTGAGGGCTGGTGCCCTGGCTACCTCCTTGGCTCCAGGTGGCCTAAGTGACCCTAGCCTTCTCTACACAGGTGGTTAAATGCTTAGCACGCCGCAGCCCTGGGTCATCCCCACCCTGGCTCAGAGTTAGGGCACAGTGAGTGTTAACTTTAACCTTCTTCTGAACAAAATATGCTATTGCATTTCATCATGGAACAGAGTCTTCAAAATAGGTCAAGAGATTTGACTGTAGGGTTATGTCTGGATTTTGCTCAACCAAAAATATAAGAGAAGTCCTGGCTGAGGATTTTGGCTGTGTCTGCCAGGCACAGGTGTGAGGTTTCTTCCAAGAGAGACGCGTTCGGGGCGCAGAGGCTCCAGGCCAGCAGGTTCAACCTCGCCAGGCCTCAGAGCCCGAAAGCAAGGAGACTGGGTGTTGCTGAGATTTGTGGGGAGACAGGAAAGAGCTGTTGGCTTGTGGAACTAACCCCAGCAGGAGCCTCTGGATCTCTCAGGGAAACCTGAGGCCCACAGATGGCTTCGCCTGGCCTCTGGGGAAGGAGACATCAGGTCTCAGCCTGTGATGGTTCCCCAGACATCAGCCATCTGTAGCCAGGATGGGGTCACCCACCCCAGATTCATAGCTGGGTCCACTGCCAGCAGACGCCCCAGGAAGTGAGATTTAGGGCTCCATCCCCAACTCTGGAAAAAAAAAAGGCTGCTGAGACTAGTCCAGAGAAGCTACTGGTGGGGAAGGTATGACCCTCTGAGCCTCAGTTTCCCCATGTGGCACGGTCCTCCTCTTCCCTCCTCTTGGTTTCCCCCTGCCCCTCACTTCTGGCCATGGCTGTCACATCGTGGTCTGCCCTTTCCCCAATATACCTGGTGGCTCCTTCCCAGGCCCAGAATAGGCCATTGTGTAAACAGGGTCTATGTGACCGGGATGTGGAAACAAAGCCAACAGCAGGAAGCCACTGGAGCCATCAGAGCAATTAAACATGGAGCAAGCTCTCCAGGCCTTGGCATGGAGTGTGTTCAGGTCAACAGGACAAAGCCTCAGGAAGGAGGTGGTCACGGCATTTGTCACAGCGGCAGACCGAAGACCTCCCTCCCCCCGCCCTGGGGCCACAGTCTCCAGAGCCCCGGAAGAGACCCAGGCTAGAGGCTGTGTGGGTGGGGTGGGGCTGGCCAGGGCACAGCCAACCCAGTCAGACTGAGACCTCAAGCAGCAGACTCTCAGCGTCATGACTCCTGTCTTGTGGCTGGACACTTCATGTGTGACCCTTGCCCCAGTGGCTCCATTCTGTCCCTAAAGGAGTAAGGGAAGGACAAGCCCTTGACCAGACTGTATGCCTAGCCTTTCTGCCACCTCCTGCTGTCCAGAACATGGTCACATGACCACACTTAGCTGCAAGGGAGGCCGGAAGTGTAGTCATTACCCTGGAAGTTGTGTACCCAACTGAGCATACAGGGGAGAAGGGGAAATGGGGTGTATTAAGCGTCTCTGTGCGCCAGCCTCTTCATTGATATAACATGGATGACAAGAGTCCCCCGGGGTGATGACAAGGTCAGATGGGTCCTAGACATGTAAAGGCTTAGTGCCGGCCTGCGCGGGAAGTCAGATGTCAGTTGTTCTTGCTTCTGCTGCTCAGTGGGGTCCTGCGCATCCTCCAGGACTCCACCCACCCCAAGCCTGGGAGCCCCACAGCCCTCCTCCCCACAGGGCTCCTTACAGACCCTGAATGAGCACCCTGCAGCCTAAGCCATGGCCACCCTCCCTGCATCACCCACTCACTGCCCTGCCAGCCTCCAGTCCTCTCACCCGCTGAACAGATGGCCTGGCCCCGCGGGGCTCTCACCATCTCAGCTGCAGGAAGAGGCTGACCCTTCTCTGGCGGCCCCGCCTGGCATGGGAAAGACTCCAGAGTGGCAGGGTGACTGCAGGACAGCCTGGCTCCTTTCAGGGTGAATCTGGGATTCTGGACGGATCCTATAAGGGAGATAACAAGAGGACATGCCCCCCCCCCCGCCTTTAGAGAACCTGAGCACCCAGCGGCCCCTGTGCCTCACTGGGCAGCCCTCTGTCCCTCCCCCAGTCCTCCCCAGCCTTCCCAGGACCCATCTGCAAGGAGGAGGGAAGTAATCAAAGGGGCGTCAGGCCCTCACGGGTAGGCGTGAGGGCCTGAGAGACTTCGAGAACTTCTCACCCAGATTCTGTGGGGCATGTGTCTCATCTCAGGCCACAGACTGGGGCAGTGATCCCCTGAACTGCCCTATGGCAGAAGGAGTGAAGCCAAAACCAAGCCAAGCAGGAAGAATGAGGACAGGGTGGCCTGAGAAGGGCCAGGTCAGGTTCCAAGCCTCCAGGAGGGAGCCGGTGGGAACCAGGGCCCTGGCAGGCCAGTGGTTGAGGAGGGAGGACCCAGCCTCTGGGCGCATCCTATGGAGGGAAGAGGTGGTATCCACACAGGCAGAGCAGTGGGCTTCCTGGCAGAGCCAGGAACCGCCGCCTCCTGCTCCAGCGCCCACAGTGGCCAGGCCAGGGCTTCTGCCTCTGTTCCCAGGGAGCAGGGTGCTTGCTGACATGCCCTTGGGCTCCCCGCACAGGCCCTGTGTTCCTGGGCTCATGAGTGCCCCTCACTGCTCCGCCAGGCAGATGCCAAGTCAGGGATGGGAGGGGGAAGACAGAACAGACGAACCCCTAAAGTCCTCAGTTTGTACTCAAAAAACCCAGCTCGGAGCTGGGAATTTCCTGTGGCTGCATCTGTTGTACGCACTCAGCCTTCTGGGTCCTCGGGCTCTACCTACAAGGCTCGCTCGATTGCCATGCAGACTACCTTTCCTTACCGCTGCTTCCTGAAGAACACAGTGCACAACTATTTCTGTGGCACTGACTTCGTGTTAGGTACAGCAAGTCACCTATGAATAATTTGAAGTAGGTAGGCTGTGTGCAGATTCTACTCAAACCCAGCACCATTTTAGGTAAGATAAGGGGCCTGACCGTGTCCTCAGATTTGGGTGTCCTCGGGGGTCCCGAAACCTGTTCCCCATGGCCAGCACAGGATGGCTGCATGGGAAGCGAGCTCACGAGGAGAAATGGTTCAGATTGGGCTGATGGCAGAGACAAGCCTTCCTCCAGACAGGGGGAAGTGTCCCCTGCGTGAGGGGACGCTGACGGGACCGCTTCTGTCCTCCCTCAGGTTGACCTTTACAACTCGGACCCCCTCATCTGCCACGCGGGGCTGAAGGTGTGTTTCGGCATCCAGCTGCTCAATGCCGTCTCGCGGGTGGAGCGTGCCCTCCCCAAGCTGACCGTGCCCTTCCTGCTGCTGCAGGGCTCTGCTGACCGCCTGTGCGACAGCAAAGGGGCCTACCTGCTCATGGACTCCGCCAGGAGCCAGGACAAGACGCTCAAGGTGAGCTGTGGCCTCCCCACTGGGCCAGGAAGGAGGGCAGCGTCTCAGGGTGGCCCCCCGGCCTCACTGGCCAGGAGGACAGGAGTCAGAGGCCCTGCGAATCCTAACAGAGCACGTGTGTCACTAGCTGGTCCTTTCACATGAATGAGCTTGAAGGAAGAAGAGAATAGTCGGGAGAAAAGAACCCACAGCTGGGCACTAGGCAGTGCCCAGAGCCCTCCTGAGAGGACATCACACTCCGGGGACGCACACAGAGCCCCAGCCGCCCTCTGCCTGCCCAGCAGGGGGCTCGGGGTGCACAGGAGCTGAGCGTGTGGCAGAGCATGGGGGTCTGCAGGGCTGACCCTACAGAGGAAAGCCTGGGGGACGTGCCCGGGGGTCAGGCCCTGAGGACACCCCGATTGTGTGGCATGTTAGATACAAGAAGCAGCCAGGGTCCACTCAGATGGGCTTTCAGGATGCACAGTGTTTGGGGCCCAGATACTCTGGTCTTTTTTGTCCGATTGAACTGGGAAGATTCCCAGCTAAGGAGAGGAGCCCCTGTGGGGCACCCATCAGATGACCCTGAAACCACAGGGCGGGTCATGGTTCCAGAGGTACAGCTACACCCTGGTCTGCATGGCTGAGATCCTGGCCTGTTCTGTGGCCCGTGCTGGATCCACAGCTGCTTTTTCACCAGGTTATAAAGACAGCAGCCCATACCCAGGGAATGACAGTCTTGATTGAGCTCTGTCATCCACCGTCCCTCTGCACTGACTGACTGACTGACTGACAAAGCCTCATCTTGGCAGACTACTGGTGCTTGCTCCTGCCATTGCTGAACCATGACACCAGACAGAGGCTTGTGGGGGAACAGAAAGAACTTCAAGAGAAAAGAAAAGGAGAGCCAGAAGGGTGGCTCACACCTGTAATCTCAGCTACTTGAGAGGCAGTGATCAGAAGGATTGAGGTTACAGGCCAGCTTGGGCAAAAAGTTAGTGAGACCCCACCTGAACCAATAAGCCAGGGACGGTGGCACATGCCTGCTATTCCAAATACATGGGAAGCATAGGTAGGAGGATTGAAGTCTGAGGCCATCCCAGTCAAAAATGTGAGCCACTACCTGAAGACTAACTAAAGCAAAGTGGGCTGGGGGCATGGCTCAGGTGGTAGAGCGACTACCTAGCAAGCGCAAAGCCTTGAGTTCAAACCCCTGTACCACCAAAAAGGAAAGGAGAAAGGGAGGGAGGGGCTGGGTGTGGCTCAGTGGGAGCACTTGCCCATGCTCCAGGTCCTGGAGTCCATCCCCAGCACCCTGGGAAGGAGTCCACTCACAAAGAGCACTCATGTTTTCCCTCATCTCCTCATCCATTGCTTCTTTAGTTCAGGAACTTCTTGGGTCCCAACATCATGCAGGGGCAGACAGACAAAGCTCTCCTCTCCCTGAATCCTGTACACCAGTGGGGGAGACCGGCACAGTGGGAAGGCGCTGAGCTGGACCACCTAGAAGTCTGGGCTCCCTCTCTTGATCCAAGAGGCCACCTGCACATTCCTGAGCCAGGAGTGACTGTCACAGGTCTGGCTTCACACTGGAAAGCAACCCCCTTGGCCATGAGGATGGCTGTGAGTGTGGAGGCAGGGAGGCAGCTTGGAGGCTGGTCTTCATCCAGGAGGAGGGGCCTGGTGGGATGGGATGGGATGGGATAGGATGGGAAGAGTAGAATCGAAGTGCTAAGGAAAGCTGTTGGCAGGAGAGCAGATTGGTGCAACTGCTACAGAAAACAGGATGGAGACCCCCAAAACACTGAAGACAGAACTGGGGTGTCGCTTGGGGGTAGAGGGCACACCAGGCACTCAGGCGGCCCTGGGTTCCATCCGCAGCACCACAGGCAACACTAAAACCTGAACGACCTTGTGATGAAGCAGTGTCAGAGAGACGTCTGCACGATAGCTGCACAACAGCAAAGGTACAGACTCAAAGTGTCCACTGATGGATGGACAGGCAGGAAAAGCATGGAGGGCAGGATGAGCCTGGAGGACGTTAGGTTGTATGAAACAAGCGACACAGGAGACGGGGATGGCAGGTTCTTACTCACGTGTGGCGCTAAGTTGTGCAGCGGAGAACGGAGGTTACTGAGGCTGGGAAGCAGAGCAGGGAGAGGGCTGGGGAGGCAGGTTAACAGGTACGAAGTTACACTTACGTAGCAGGATAGTTAATAATTTATTGTCTATTTCAAAATAGGTAGAAGAGAGATTTTGAATTTCTCTACTCAAAGAAATAACAAATGTTTGAGGTGACAGAGGTGCCGTGAAGGGTGCTCCCTGGGGTCTGGACCTCAGCTGTGCTGAGGCCGAATCGAGGAAGAGCCAGGACTCTGTGAGACACACGCTGTGTCCTTGCACAGAGATCCAGAAATTCCAGGCAAATGGCAGCAGAGAGAGGCCATTTGGGGAAAAGTTCTAGAGCCAGTGAACGATGCTAAGTCCGGTGATATGCAAGTGCCAAGTGTCCCCTGCTGTGGCACGCAGAGGTCCCTGGACACCCTGCCAAGAACAGCCACCATGGGCTCGGGGGCTGCTGGGTGAGCTGAGGGCTGATGGAGGGTGAGGACTTGGGGGTGGGGATGGTGGATAGAGCCCTGGAGAGAAGGTTGTTGGAGGTGGAGACACAGAAGTGGTCCTGGCAGGGAGCTGAAGGGCAAGGGCTGGAGGTAGGAGGACATTTGGGAAACTGTAATTTGATCTAAACACCTTGGCCCCCGTGGGCATGGTGGCACACACCAGCTACTTGGGAGGCCGAACAGGAGGATCACTTGAACCCAGGTTTTCAAGGCCAGCCAGGTGAGGCCTTGTCTGAAAAAAGGGGGGTGAGGGGTCTGTAGCCATGTGAAGCGGCTGTGGGGGCCCCCCCAGCGATGACACCGCACACTGCCGTCCCCTGCCTGCGTCCACCCCCCGCCTCCCACTTCTGACATCGCGGCCCTGACTCCGTGTCTCCCCGATTGCAGATCTATGAAGGTGCCTACCACGTTCTCCACAAGGAGCTTCCTGACGTGACCCGTTCCGTCTTCCACGAAATAAACATGTGGGTCTCTCAGAGGATATCCATGGCGGGAGCTAGGTCCCCACCCTGAACGCCCTGCTGGCGACCTGCTCACGGTCTGGAGGACGCAGGGAGAGGAAGGGCAGAGCTGGCTTCTCAGATGGGGCTTACAGAAAAAAAATCACACATTGGAGGAATCCCTAGCACAATTCAGTTTTTTTAAAAAGACATTTTTGTCATATATAAGGCTGTCAGCCACTAGCTCTACCTTAAGAGGTAGATGCTTTATGCAAAAAAGAGAGAGAGAAGGGTTAGTTACAGGCAGTTTTCCACGAAGGACTGTATTGAAATGTACTTTAAAAAAAAACAAATAGAAAGCGCAGCCTCCGCCCGCCTCTCCCAGAGCCCACGAGGCCAGTCCCCACGTTCCCAGACTGCAATAACTGGAGGATTGTTCTCTCCTGCCCCCACTCGAACTCCCACCCCAGCACTCTCTCTGACTGGCCTTTCTCTGGTGTGTGCTGAGCTGGCCTGTGTCCCCACAGAGCCAGCTGCTCGGCCCTTCTGAGGCCCAGAAAGCGCCCTGAGCGTCCTAAAAATGGACAGGCAGCCCTGACCTTCTTGGCCCAGGCCGGGCTTACCCAGTGGGCAGGAGAGCACGGCCTAGGCAGAGCACTGAGCAGGGAACCCTGGCTCTTCTCCTGTACCCCTTCCTTCTGCCAGGGGGCCTGGTCCCCCAAAGGCACCATATGTATTCTAAAAGGCTGCCTTTCCCTAAGTCCCCCACTCACCACATGCTGGAAGGAGAGCTTTTGTGGAAGAGAGATTTCTAATATATAAATACATTCTAAAACAGAGACTATATATTTTGGTAGGTGTGTGGGGCCAGGGCAGCTGGAAGGAATGGAGGCCCACACTTCTGCCCAGGGCCTGGCTCTGTTCGCTCGGAGCGAGGCCAGTGCCACCAAGAAGGGACTAGGCAGGCCCCGTGTCTCCCATGCCCTTCCAGGAGGATGAGGACCATGCTCCTGGGGCCTGGGCCTTCCTGCTGCCCAGAGCCACCAGGGATGGGGAGGGCAGGGTCCCCAGTGTTGGCAGCACAGTGCCCTCTGGTGGCAGAAGAGATTTCCAACGCAGCCAGCCCAGGGCATCACAGAGCACCCAGTGACCACCCAAGCAGGGACCAGAGGTCCCCCCACCCTGCCCCAGGCCTCAGCAGGACAGCCAGGCCAGGCCTCACCCAGGACCTGGCATTAGTAACCTCCCCACTGAGGCCCTAGCCCGGCCTGCTCTCTCAGGGGCCAACCCGCCCAGCCTGCTCTTAGCCTCACTTAAGGCCAGCAATAAACAGGGATCGCCCCCCTCGGAAGTACCCTTCCTTTAAAATGGGACTTGCTGTTACCTCAAGAGTCCCCTTAGTACACACATGGCCTGGGTGGGGCATGGCTGGGGACGCCCATCTGCAGGGAGGGGCTGGTGCCATTGACCCCCCCCACAAGATGCAATTCAGGGGTCCTAGGATCTCAAAGGAGGTGGCTTTCCTGCCAGAACCCCTGACATGGAGGTTAGGAGCCCAGAGCTCAGCCATCTTCCCCAAAATGTGGGAGTTGCCCCTCCCCATGCCGGGTCCTTCTCCCGCTTATTCCCCTGGAGAGGGGACCCTCCTGCCCTCCCTCCAGCGACCCTGTCTGCACCATGGCAGAGTCAAGAGCTGGTCCCCTGCTAAAGGTCACAAAGGCCACTCTGTGCCCTGGGGGCTGCAGGTTTGTGCTCTTCTGACCAGGCAGGGCAGGCAGAGGCCCAAAAGCTGACCCAGCCCAGGCCAAACACACAGTGGCGTTCTGGGCCCCATCTTACCTGTCTGGCTTCTCTCTAGAGAAGGAAAATGTAAAACCTGAGCTGAGTGCGGCAGTCAGCCTCCACCTGCTCTGGGAGCCCTGGGCAGCTGTGCGGGTGTTTCTGCTCGCAGCTAAGGAAAGGCAAACAGCAAGGCCCTCTGGGCTCAGACCTGTGACTCTCCCCCAGAGCCCAGAGTCCCCACACCCACCCACTTCCCTAGAAGCACGTGATGGTGACAACATCCCCAGATTCGGTGTCCTGGCATGTGGTCTGAACAAGGTCTCTTTCAGATGCATGAATTTATTTACGTGAAAGTTCTTACAGAGACACAGGCAAATTCAGACTCACTCATGTCTGGCTAAAGAAATCCAGAAGGGGTGCAGGAACACAGACATGCCCCGTGCATGGCTGAATCGGGCAGCAGCACAGGACACTGCATGTCAGCCATGTCTGCCATCTCACGCCCTCACTGCCTTGAGTGGAGTTCTTCCTCATACAGACAGCTCTGCACCGACACTCTGAGCGTCACAGGCGGCCATGCCACCATGGGGACGTAGAGGAACTTGGGTTTGGAAGGGATGCTGGGCCATACACAACTTCACCCTAAGAAGGTGAGAAGAAGGCAGAGGCCAGGGAAGGAACCCCAGAGATGCAGTGGGTCCCAGTCCTGCCGGGACACAGGCCAGGCGCCTTCCCCAGCAATTCGACAGTGATGGGGTCCCTACAGTCCATGTGGAGATGGCTTTGTGCCTGAGAAGCTTTGTAGGAGACACTTGCAGGTAGCGGGGACTCCACCCAGCCAGGCCCTAGCTCCCTGGCAGAGATGGCAGGTTGGGTGGCCTTCGCCTACCCTGCACCCCTCAGCTTTGGGGCACTCTGGAGACCACGGCGAGAGTTCTGAGGATGGTCCGAGTGCCCCCCCCGCCCACCTCCCCCTCCAGGCCAATGGGACTTGTCTCACCCTATCTCTTTTCTCTCCTGTTGCTAACACAACCCTGTTAGGATCACGATGATCTCCAAGCACCTTGCCAGTTTGTCACTGTCAGTGCGGCTCAGTCACACCCCACGTATGTATTCTCAGTGGGGAACGTGTGTCAGCTTAGAGCTATTAAAGGAACCAATGTGCACTACAGCTAATCCTAATAAACCATATGTTTTCTGAGTGGTGTCTACATCTGTCTGTCTGTCTGCCACAGTGGCCTCTGATCCTGTGTGACAACTCTCTTGCAGAAAAAACTTCTTTTTCCAGCAGTGTGAGTCGTGGCCGAGCCAAACCCATACTGCACCCCGAGCGGCCCTCCCTGTGCCTGTCCAGGGTGTGTGGATTTGTCTTCTCCCATCCACACTGTGGGACAGCTGGCTGGGGAGCAGGTACTCTCGTACAGACTGAGAACCACAGAATCCCAGGCTCCTGACTCAGTCACCGTCTCACGTGGGCACCAGGCAGTCCCCACGCAAAGCCCATCCTCTCTGCCGCACCTTAGTCCTGGCAAGGTGCATCCACTTCCTCCTTGGTGCGGGGACCTCACACTGCTGCTGTAGGTGTCACTCTGGATGCCTCCCTGCAACCCAGCAGCTCTGCCTCCAGAGTACTGCCAGAGTCAGGCCATTCCACACAGAAGCCATAGGGGCTGCTAGGGCACGCGTCAGGCTCGGCCTCCCCTGCACAGAGCCCTCCCATGGCTCTATCAGTCACTAGACGCCAAACCCATGACCTCCATCAGTCAGCCCCCAGCCTCCCCGAGGGTTCAGGTCTCACCACACCTCCCAGGCCTCTGCTGCCAGCCGCTGGGATGTGTGATCTGCCCTTGTCGCACTTTCACCCCTCCCGTGGGCATGGGAGCTGCAGAAGGGCATGTTCCTGCCCTAGACCTGTGTGTGCCACCCAGAGGGTAATGAGCACCTGCGTGGGGGACTGGATGGTGGCGGAATGGAGGGAAGGAGGGAGGAAGGAATGAGTGAGCGCGGGAGTGAGCAGGAGGAGTAAAGGGCAGGCACAAACCTTTCAAGGGATGAAGTGGAAGTTAGAAATTGTACCATCCAGAGCACACTGGCATGGCCACAGCTGGGGACACCAGGAAAAGAACCATGTGCCACTTGACAAGTAAAGGGCCAGGGCTCAGAGACCAGGATGGCAGCAGGCCATGCAAGGAGTGGGTGTGTGGTGCCTGCTCACTCCCTGGGCAGCAAGACCCACAGAGAGGAGCTCTGCTGGCTCCCAGGCTGCCTGGGGAGATGCCAACAGCAGAAAGAGGCAGAAAGGTGAAGCAAGGCCATGGCAGTGGGAACAAGAGGTGGAGAAGAGCTACTAGAGGTGAAATCATGGAGGTTGATGACAGCTAAGGGGAAGAAGAGAATGCACTCGGACACCCCCAAACTCCAAAGGTAGAGCGCAGTCCACAGTGGTGACAGGAAGGAGCAAGCACTTTCTTGTGCCAAGCTCCCCTTGCAATTTCCACTTCCAGGCTGAAGAATTCCAGAGCGAGCAGCCAGGGCAGAAATGACAGGGAACAGAAGATGAAGGACCACAGGTATAGACAAGGCAAGAGAGGATGGAAAGCTGAAGCTGAAAAAAAGACGGAAGAGCCAGTATGAGAAAGTGCAGGTCCTGTCCAGACTTATGGGACAAGGTGCCCAGACTGAGATACGGCCACTGTCAAGGGATGGGTGTCCTGACAGCCTAGGCCTGAGAGTGGCAAAACTGGCTGCTGTCATGAGCCTCACGTCCTGGCACCTAAGGCCCATCAAGAGCTGCTGCTCCCGGCTGGCTGCTGGAAGTGCAGGACTTAAACAGCTACCACCTGCTGTGTGGCTGGTCCAAGCCAGAGCAGTGAGTGTCCAAGCCGAGTGCCAGAGCCATGGTCTCTGTGGCCAAAGCCTGGAGCAGAAGGCCCCCAGCCTCAGGCCTGGAGCTGGGAGCCTCTGGGTCTCTGTGCAGCCCCTAGACCTGGGCATTCAAGGACAGGGACTGCCAGAGCTGGAAGAGTTTCTCTGCCTATTCGTGATTTCTGCACAGGTGGAGAAGGGGGACCCCAGGCCGCTGAGTGGTAACGAGGACATTTGCAATGTTTCCTGTTTATTTACCGTGGACACCTTCATATAGGAAGGGTTTCTCCATCGCTCCCCGGTCTCTACCGTGAACTAAAATGAGGAACCATGTGCTGTGGTTGAGGAACGCAGCCCCACCCAGCCCACAGCCTGGATTCTGGGGCACAGTGACCTTGGCCGGTGACCTTGACCTGGCCATGTCTGCAGCATCCTTGAACCAGGAAAACATCAATTGTATTTTTCCTTAAATCCCCTCACTAGTGTTTTAAAGTACACTGAGAAATGGAAACTTTGATTTCAAATAACATCTATAAATAAGGCAGCTCGGTGTACTGCTTGCTCCCACTGATGCCCATCGAGAGAAGTGCACGGTAACGCATAGTAACTTAAGGCCTTTCCCTAGAGGTTAAAAGTCTCTTCCACACCTGGCACATCCAGGGCCAGTGTGGTCTGACGGGGAACTTGTTGCCACCAGTGGTTTCTAAAATGCAAGTGGCCTATCCTGCCCCACCCTTGCTCTGCTGGCTCCCACAGGGTGCCCCAGGCTCACTTAGGCCAGGTGTTGTGCTAGACCCCTCTCAGTGCTCCAGGACAGGACTGAGCTCCTATCACTGGCAGGCAAACAGGCAAGGCAGTAACCAGGCAGTGGAAGGCAGAAGGGCAGAACCTCAGCGGGAAGTGGCCTCTGGCTGCAGATGGGATTGGCTGTAAGGCCCCTGTGTACCACCTCCAACTCTGGTGGCTGCAGGCTCCCAGGGCACCTCCCCAATGTACTCACCACTCTCACCCCGACTGCCAGGAAATTGTCCCAACTGGTCACTGTGGATCTTATAGCTCCTCCCCCTAGACTGACCAGCAAAAGCAAAGAACGAAAATGCACTGGGGGAGAGGAGAACAAGAGCGAAAGGGCGGGACAGGTGTGAAATGACTGTTGCTAGCAGACCAAGCCAGGGAGGCCGGCAGGGAGGGTGAACACAAGGGGCTATGGTCCAGAGGCCTGGAGGGCGTCCTGAGAAGGCCCCAGACTTCCACTAATGTCACAGACCCTATGGGAAGGCCACAAGAGCCTCCCTGGGGAGGAGGGACCCAGGCTGAGGAAAATGGGTAGCAGGGGCCAGAAGTTGAGGCAGCCAGGCCTGGCTGGGGTTAGTGGACTGACCTTCGAGCCTCTGGGCCAGCCTTTGCAGAGCATGCTGGTGAGATACCTAAGCCCCCCACTCTAGAGCCCTCCGTTCCTCACCAGCTCCTGCTCACTGCCATCCTCAAGCTGCACCCCAACACAGGCTCAAACCCCCACAGCGAATTCAAGCTTTATTACCAGACTCCATGGCCCTTCCCCCCAGCCCTGTCCACAAGTGGCTGAAGCAAGCCACCCAGGACCAGGACTGGGTGGGTGGGGTGGGTATTGAGGGGTGCTGAGTCCCAGGCTCCCCCAGGTTTCCCTGAGTGGTGCCCAGCCCTGGGTTGTGTATTGGGGGAGGAGGCTCATCCCAAGGAGACCCTCGAAGTCCTCAGGGTTGTGGGAGGGAGCCCCATTGAGGCCCCTCTGCCCCCTGTGATGCCCTCAAGTGTGCAAGGAGCAAGAAAACAGATGCACACACACGTGTGTCCCCAAGAGAACCCCTGGCCTCAGGGCTGCCAGGAGCAGCAAGGGCTCAACAGTCCAAGCCAATAGACACAAGCAGGTCCTCAAGAGCCCGCAGACGCTGCTGTGCCTCCTCAATGGCGCTGTAGGTCTGCACCGTGCTAGCCACGTGGAAGCGGATGTCGTCCACCAGAGGGATGGAGTCGGTCTCCTGCCGGGCCGCCACTGCTGCTGCCTCCTCCCTCACGGCGTCCACAAAGTCCTCCCGCTCCACCAGCTGTGTACGGGCCAGCTCCAGCTCAGCACGGGTTGACTGACACCCAGCCACGCTCCCTCCCACCCGCCACCATGCCCCAGCCCACCTTCTCGATGACCTTGGCCATGTACTCAGTGCACTGGTCCTCAAGCCGTGCCAGGCGGAACAGCTTGGCCACGCGCCACACACCCACCACGCTGTCCTCGTCCAACAGCTGGGCCAGGCTGCGGCCACACAGCCTCTTCAGGCCAGGCAGCAGGTACATGTCAGCCACACTCAACACATCATAGGCCGTCTCGGGTGGCAGCTGCAGTGACAGAAGGTGCAGAGGTACATTGAGGTCCCCATGGGCTCCCAGGCTCAGTGGCCAGGGCTGGTGCCTGACTGGAGGGTGAACACTGTGGGAACAGAAACTACCCATGTCCCTGGAGCCCAGCCAGGGCTCCTGTGGGGCCACAAGAGGGCAGAAGAGACTGGGGGGGGTCCCATGCCTTGGGCAGGCAGGTGGGCAGGGTGGGAGGCAGCACCTCTCTGCTCCCCTGCCCCCCAAGGGAAGACAGCTGCAGCTTCCAGAGGCCTGGGCCCTGACAGCTGTGGGATGGTGAGCAAAACCCTTCACCTTTCTGTGCCTATCATGCACACCTCAAAGGGCTGTTAGGGAAGCAAGACTGAGGCTGCCGTTCAAGATGGAGACAGGGACACTCACTGCCAAGGGTGGGTGTGGCCCCTTCCACTGGGAGGCCTGTGCTAGGAAAGACCAACTGCTCAGCTTCGGCCTGAGCTTGGACAGCTGCAGGGAGCAGGCAGGAGACGGACTCTTGCTGCCCCATTTCAGGCTGTGGGCACCCTGTGCTTACTGTGCAAGCCTCCCTGCCACTACTTTACCTGTGGTAATGTGGTTCTGGGCACAAGACCCGAGCAAGCAACGACAATTTTCTAGAGGGGGAAACTGAGGCACAGAGCAGCTAAGTAACTTGCCAAGAGCACAAAGCTCATGAGAGGGTAATCCTAGGCAGGTTTGGAGTCCAATCCATACTGAGCCATTAAGAAGGTGCCCTTGGGGTGCAGAGCTCCTTCAAGAGGGACCCTGGGCAGAGAGCCACAGGACAGAAAAAATGAAGTAAAGGAGGCAGGTGGGAGGTTGGCCAGGCAATGGCCAGGTCTGGGAGGAGCCCAAGCAGAAGCTGGCAGACCAGAGAGGCTGTAGGACCTGGGCCAGGGCAGCAGGAGATGGGTGGAAAGTGTGCAGCCCCCAGCAGCCCACGGAAAGGACACAGCCTCCCGTCTTCCTCGTCCTCCTAAGCCTCCTAACCCACGCGCTCCACCGCACGTGGACTCCACCCCCACGTGGTCTGCACGCTACAGCAGAGACCACGTGGCCCCACAGGGCCTGAAACATTTACCTCCAGAAGAAAGGTCTGTTGCCCCCATCCTAGGACAGCAAGATGGAGGGGACACCTGGGTCCCCAGCAAACCAGCTACCCATGGCACTCGCCTTAGACCCAAAGGAAACAAGTTTCTCTCTTCTCTGAGCCACCTGCTTTGGTGGTGTGTCCCTACACACTACGTCCACCCCTGCCAGAGGGAACCTTTGCACTCACTGACCCGTGTTAGACGGTGACAGATTCCAAACCCCAGGGAGCGGCGGCAACCAAAGCAGGTGGCTCAGAGCTCCCGTCCCTACCACACTCCCACCGAAGCTGACAGGACACCCAGGTACCAAGTGCTTGTGACATGAAATTTGTCCCTGTGTCCTGCTCTGGGACCTATCACAGCACCCTCTGTCTCAGAGAAAAACACAGATCCCAGCTTTCCTCTCCAGCCTAATCAGACGCTCCCCACAGGGCTGGTCAGGGCTTCCGCAGGGCCCAGCGCCCACATTCCCCCCAGACCCTGGGCACAGACCGTGTGCCCACCTCAGTGTGGTCACTGTACATGTAGTACAGGACGTGGGTGAAGATGTCAGGCGAGATGCCCTGCAGGGTGACAGCTGGGGGCCCCCCAGAAGCCGCAGGCTCCTCGTTCTCTCGGAAGTGGTCGTCCAGCAGGGCCCGGAAGTAGTCACTGCGGCCGCAGAAGAAGGCCTGGGGGAGGTGGGTTCAGAAGTACCAGGGCTGGGGTCTGCTCCTGAGGAGCCAGGGCTCAGGGCAGTGGCTGGAGACAGGAGGGGACAGGCACCTTGTGGCAGAGAAAGCTGCAGCCGGCCACTTGGAAGCAGACATCAGGGCAGCTGTTGAAGCTGTCAGGGCAAGGGAAGGGCAGTTCTCCGAGGTCACCCTGGGCATAGGACAGGCCTGTCAGAGCAGAGCGGCTCACGAAAGGGCAGTGACCGGCCCAAGATCACACAAGGAACAGAACCCTCCCACGTGGAACCTGGCTCTCACAGCCCCTCACCACAAGGTCCCCAGCCCCGCACGTACTCGCAGCTCAGGGGGCAGGGCACAGTCGGCCAGCAACGCCATGTCTGCCCGGAGCCGGGGGTCGGCTGGAGGGGGCTCAATGGTCAGCACCTTCACACATGTGCCTGGCTTGGAAGCCACTGCGGAGGGAGAGCAGCTTCAGGGGGCCGGGCCAGCCCTGCCAGCTCCAGCCCAAGGCAGGCCTCAGGTGGAACCCTGGACGCACCGAACTCCGACACCTTCTCACACTTTGCTTCCAAGTCGCCCAGCAGGTCCCACAGCTGGCACTGCTTGGCCAGGCGCTCACAGTCGCTGACATGCTCCACGCCAATGTCTAGGCGACCTGAGTGCAGTGTGCGCGTGTCAGGGCCCTGTGGGGCCCTTAGCTATCACCAGGTACCCAGTTTCCTAGGTGGGGGCCCCTCCCACCCAGCCACTGGCTACAGAGCTGGGACTCCAGGCTCGCTCTCTGCCTCGATTTCCCCATCTAGAAGAACCCTAGACTTGCTCACTTTATGTTTGGTACAAGGTCTTCCTGAACAGGCAGACTTGGTCCTGCAATCCAACCCAGGAGGCCGCTGGAACCAACCCACCCCTGCTGAAATGATGACGTGCCACCATGGCACCATGGCACCACGGGGTCTGCTGCTGTGCAGAAAGGCAGTCCCTCCCTCCTTCTCCCTCCCTCCCCAGCACCGGGGGCTCACCTGTGTACAGGTACTGCAGCAGGGCCCCAAAGGCCAGGGGATTGATCTGTGAGCAGGAAGACAGAGGGCAGGTCAGAGGCAGCACGCTGCGCACGCCCGGTGGTCCCCTGGACAGTCAACGCCCCTCCACCACCCTGAGGGACGCACCAGGGGGTGCCTGAGAACCACGACGCTCTTGCCCTTCCACTTGGTGTCCAGCATGTTGGCGAAGTAGGTGCTGCGTGCACCCAAAACGCAGCGATGTGCCCGGAATGGCTTTCCGTGCACGACGAAGACCACGTCGCTGTGGATGCCCTGTTCCAGAAGCCTGGGGAGGGGGGGAAAGGGGTGCTCATCGCTCCTCACCTCGCCAGCCCAGGGCAGCCCCAGGCCTGTTGTGCAGGCAGGTGTACGCAGCCCCGCCCCGCCCCCGCACTAAGCCCCGCCCCGCCCACCACAGCCCCAGCTTCCTGCTCACCGCTGCAAGAAGTCGTCGTAGTAATCCCGTCTCCTGCAGGAGGCGGTGACCTGCTTGTAGTCGCGCAGGGCCCGGCGGATGGGATCGCTCAGCGCCCCGTAGAGGCAGCGCTCGCCGTCAAAGGTGTTGGCCTCGCAACGGGCTCCTGGGGCGGCAGGGCTCAGCAGTCAGGGGGGCCCTGGGCTGCGGGTGAGCCTGGGAGAAACCTCATCGCCTGCCCCTCTGCCCCAGCTCCCCACGGGTAGGGCCCACATTCCCCTGGGCCCACTCGGACCCCAGCGTGCGCCGTCAAAGCCAGGGCACAGCACTGCGTGTGCACTCACACGGGCACATATTCACTCACATACGATCCACTACGCACAATTCAGCGCAGACTCCGACGCAGCCATCCACAAAACTGGCAAGTCCCTCCCCCACTGAACTGACTGACAGGGCACAAGGACACCAAGCAGGATAACAAGTGACATGACGCAGCCATTGTGATAAGGATGAAGGGTGACAGTGCTGGTGGCTGCCACATAGGGAGGCCATGGAAGGTCACGCTGGTGAAGAGGAGGGGCAGGGACCCGCGTGAAGTGAGGAAGTGAGCCGGGTCCGAGATCTGGGAGAGGCGGCTTAGGCGGTGTGCAAAGGCAGGGGCTGGCTTGGCTTAGTGCAGCACCTGAGGCCAGAGTGGAAAGCCCAGGGAGAAGTGGCCAGAGGACGAAGGGGGAATCCCGTGGAGCCTCACAGGCTAAATGGTTCAGATCTACCCTTAATGGAACATTTAAACCCATCACCTGGCTGCAGTATGGAGAATGGACTGCAGGTGGGGCAAGAGAGGAGCTGGGAGACCAGAGAGGAAGCCCGCAATTCTACTGCCCATAGTGACACAGGTCCAGGAAGGGGCCCAGTGCTGACCTGGGTGGCAGCACGGGGACGGGGAAATGGACAGGCGAGAGCACAGGCTTGAAAGTGGAGAGAGGCGTGCTTGCTGACTGGATGTGGGGTGTTAAGGGGGGCTCGAGGTGTCTGCAAATGTGTGTGAAGGTCTCTGAGCTCACAGAGCACACATACAACACCCGGTCGGACCCATTCCATCCTCACCATTGGCCAGAAGATAGAGTACCAGCTCCTCGTGCCCACACAGGCAGGCATAGTACCTGAGGGAGGGGGGCATCCAGGGAGGTGGCTGTCAGCAGGGAGGGGCCCGCGATGCCCCCCGCCCTCCACACCTGCACTCACAAGGGGGTGCTGTCCCACTTGTCCCGCACGTTCACCTCCACGTCTCGCTGCTCCAGCAAGTACCTGGGAGGAAGGAGGCCAGAGTCTGGGTCAGCACTCTCCTGGTCTGGGAGAGGAGGCCCATGGAGGGGATGGAGGACGGTATCCCTCTGAGCCAGGGCAGCCTCCCTAGGTGAGGGCAGATCAGGGAGGCCAGGCATTTGAGGCACAGTGCAAAGGCCTGGCATTGGAACCACACAGGACGTGAGGGAGAGGGCTGTGTGGTGGGAGATGGCAGCTGCAGGGGCCAGAGGCCAGGTTCCGGGTTGAGGAGGCTGAGGCTTGTGGCATTTGGGAGAGGAAGGTAACCAGGCCCTACTTCGTGAGAACCCATCAGCTGCCTGGGCCGTGGGCTGGCTCTGCTGGAGGCAGGAGGCCAAGGGAAGCTACTGCAGGAATCCTGGGGTGGGTAGTAGGGAGAAGGAGGCGAATCTGAGAGGGCAGAAATCTGCTAGATGGCTGGTGGGATGGGGGTGGGTGTCACTCATGAGAAGCCACCACTGGGGGACGGGGCAGCCCAAAGGCGGCGTCCAAGGTGTGACCTGGGGGGTGCTCTAAATTGCATTTGGCTTTGAGGATTACCCACCAACTCTGAGGTGTGACCTGAGGATGGGGAGGGGCTCACGAGGTTTTTGGAGAGTGCCGCAGGCTGGAATCGCCCGAGAAGTCAGGAATGGTAGATTAGGACCATGAAATGGGGAAGGGCCAAGAAGAAAAGAGACCAAGGAGAGGAGAGTGCAGGGCCAGGGGAGGGGGGTGTCCCAGAGGCTGATGGGCACCCCTTCCCTCCCACCTGCCCACGGAGATGGCGATCTCGGCGCTACACCAGGAGTGTCCGCGCCCCTGGGAATAGTAAGGGGGTGGGGATTCCCAGCGACAGATCTGGGAAAAGAAGCCAAGTCTGGAGCCCCGGGTCTGCCTGGTCCGGCCCTCCTTTCTCTCCGCCCGCTTCTTCGGCCTCTGCCAATCAGTCCCTCTTCCAGGATGCCCTCCGGGGTCCGTCAGCATCTGCACCCGTCCCCTGAGCGCCCGCTTTCCAAGGCTGCGTGGGATCCGCGGTGGGCCGACGACCCGGTTCTCCCTCCCCGCGGCGGCCCAGCTCCCGCCCGCCTCCCGCGCCCTCCAGGACTGTGGGTCCTCACCGCACGCGGCCCACGTCCCCCTTCCTGCAGCTGGCAAACAGGTCGTTAGTGTCCATGGCGCGGGAGGCTCGGACCCGGGTAGAGACCTCGGGCAGCGACTCAGCGTCCGGCCGGATGTAAACACGCGCCGCACCGCCTCTCCCCTCCCGGCTCTGCCCGGCTTGCTCTGCTCCGCAGCGGCGCCTGGCGCCGGGAGGACCACTTGGCCGGGTCGCAAGAACCGTGCGCCCGCCCCAGTCCGGGCCCGCCTGGAGCTCCGCCCTCTTTAAGGACCGCCCACTTAACCCAGGCCCCGCCCAGTCCGCTCCGGCCCCGCCCTCCCTCCTGCCGGGGGTACCGCGCGCCCGCTCCAGTCTAGAGCCCGCCCCGCGCCAGCCTGGTGGGCCCCCCGCCCCCCCTCCCTTCCCCCTCCCCCCCTCCCTTCCCCCGCCCCGTCCTCTCAGCCTCTCTCCGCCGACACAAGAACTAGGCGAGCAGGCGCACGGGCCCACGCGGTCTCGGGCGGCTTTAATGGAGTCCGAGCGCCCGCGGTAGGGCTCACGGGGCCGGGCGGGATGGGGGTGGGAGCTGCGCCAAGATCGCCTTGTGTAGTAGGAAGCGGGAGGAGCCCCGCGCCGAGGGCCGGGGGTGCGCCGGGGAGGGGCGCAGGGCTGTGCGGGCTCCGCGGCGGCTTTCGGGCCATCCTGCGCAGTCCCCGCGGGCGGGCGCGAGGCCACCGCCGGGCTGCAGGGCCCGGACTCCCCAGGCGACTCTGCCCGAGCTCGGCGGCTCACAGGTGTGTGTCCTCCTCGAACACGTCCGAGTCCTCGGGGTCACGCTTGCTCCCCATGAGCGCGCTCCAGCTCCCCGGGCCGTTGATGGCCCCGCCGCCGTTCAGGCTGGGCTGCTTCTCCTGCATCTCCGACTGGCTGTCGCTGGCCACGTCCAGCGTGGGGTTGTCGTGGCAGCCGTTCTCCACGAAGCGCAGCTCTTCGCCGTGCGACTGCAGTGATGGGAGAGGGCGCTGGGCGTGCGCTGCGGCCAGCCACGCACACCCCACACGCGACAGCCGCAGGCCCCCGCGGATAGCCAGTGCCCTCACACCTGCTCCTGAATAATCCTTTGCACTAAAAACCCGTTCATCCCCCTGGCATCACCTGATCCCTCCTAACAGACCCGTTATAAATGAGACCGGGCCTGCTCTCTTCCTCTTGGCTGCAGGAGCCTCTTCTATCCTCTAGGCATTGCCTGTTCCAGAGCCCTAGATGCTGGGGCTCTCCAGTGCCACTCTTCCCCTGAGAGGAGCAGCTTGTGATGTGCAGGGCGCCCCACTCCCTGTACCTGCCGCTCCTGCTCTGCAGAGCCAGCCAGTGCCAGGCCCTGGCCTAGTGCCAGTACAGCCTTGTTTTTTCCAGGGCAGCAGTTGAGGACACTGCATCTCAGGTGACCAGCATTGGTGGGCACCCCTCCACCAGCTTCCCTGGTGTACCCTGCCCCATGCTCACCACGTGCTTGAGCTTGGGCAGCCGGCGCTGCCAGCAGTTGTAGAGCAGGCCAAGCACAATGATGATGAAGCAGATGACCCCGATGATCACCAGTACCACGAAGAGCGTCCCGTAGTCACTGCGCACCTGGGTGGCCCGTGCCTGGCAGCTGCTGGTGGTGGAGTAGTTCTGGATACCAATCTAGGGGTGGGAGGGACCAGGTTCCTGAGCCAGGACCCTGGTGCTGGGCTCCTCACCGAGGGGTGGTTGGGGTTTGGGACCAGGGCCAGCAGGCAAGACTTGAGAAGAGGCCAGCACATTGTGGTCTTCTGATGTTCCCTGGGGCCTGGACCTGTGCTCAGAGGGGTGTGTACTGTCTACCCTGTCACCTAAGCCCCTCCCATGGCTGCATTCCCCACAGAGGCTTCTGCCCCAGCACAACTCTGGACACACCTGGCTGAGGTCCTAATTCCACTGAGCTGGGTCCCTACGCTGCTAATCATTGTCTACTAGAGAGAGACTGTGCCTGTCCCTCAGTTAAACTGAGCAGGGCAGCTGAAAGCCCCTCTTGCCCTCTAGCACACATAACCACTGGGTCAGGGCCCTGACCTTTAGGGTAGGCAGGGGGCTCGGCTATCATTCTGGCCACTGGGGCAGGCAGCTGCACATCTCAAGGGCCAGTGTGGAGACACAGTGAATATGGTCTACCCCTGCCCTCCCAATGGCAGCTACCTAGCACTCCCACACACTGAAGGTTATCTTCACCAGGCCTGCCTTCTCCCCCTGGGGCTGCTGACCCCCATAGAGCCAGGCACAGGGAAGGGAGGCAAGGAGGTCGAAAAGTGCCAGGAAGGCTCTGGTGCAGAGGCCAGGCTGTGTTGGGCCCTTTCTAAGGCCAGAGCTTCAGATCCTCTGTGGTGTCTGAACCACCTGTGCGTACCCAGTACTTCTCTCGTCTTTTAATTCAGTTTTCATTTTTGCTAGAGTCACCCCCCAATGCACTTGTACCACTTCTGTACTTTTAAAGACCCAGCATGCCTTTTAGTCAAGCAAATCTGAATTGAGTGCCCTGTACAGGCAGAATGCCTAGGGGCAGGGAGCAGAGGTAGGGGGCCTGAAGTCACAGTCAGTCTGTTCCCACCATCCCCTACCACCACCAGTGTTCTTGACCCAGAATTTCAGGGCTACCAACCAGCAGTGCAGTGGCATGATAAAAGGCCCTGAATCTCACAGGCTTGGTTCTTCCTAGTTGTGTAATCTCAAGCAAGCCACCTCACCTCTCTGGGGTTCAGCTCCCACCCCAAAATGGTGCTTTATTTAATCCTCATGACCCCATGGGGTGGCAGAGAGGATTAAGTGAGAACCCAGTGCAGTGTGGCCCTTGTGAACACTTGACATGCTTACTAAAAATAAGGAAAAAACCCAGTATGAAAACACTAGATAAGGAGGCAGCCCAGGTCATATATGTTCATGTTTGCTGTCATGTACTGCAAAGTCCCCAAGAGCAAGGAGAGCCAATAACAGGTCACTGGGGCCACAGTGAGTAAAGGTGGTTTGGTGTGTGTGCTGGGTGGGGGTGTGTGGCTGTCCTTAAGAAGGGGGCCAGAAGCATCAGAGAGACTTAAGGTCCCACCTCCCCTAGCCTTCACTGCAGCCCAGGACAGGCCAGCGGCTCACAGGCTGCATTAGGCAGGGCTGTTTCCCACCCTGGATCCATACTGTAGGCCCTAGGGGAGGAGCCCTGGCACGTGTGGTTTCTGCAAACTGTTGTGTCCCCTTCTGCCAGGTGCTGCATGGAGTTTCTTCTGCTGTCCCACCACTGAGCCTCACCCCCTCCCCCACGGCTCGCTCTCTGCCCTCTCCTGGCTGTAGCTTTTGCATGCAGTACACAAAGCTCCGCCATTCCACGGGGTCCTGCCCCAGGCTGCGCCTGGCAGGACTCTGTTCTTGCTCCCTTGAAGCAAGGAGGCCCCATCCTCGGGGACTGCAGGTTCCCAGGGACAGGAGGGGTCAAGGCAGCAGTCAGCTGGCAGGTCACTGCATGCTTACCTCTTCCAGACTCCTGCGAATGTCACCCAGCATGGAGAGGACATCTTGGGTGGGCACAACCCCTATGGGGAAGAAACGGCATCATCAGCTTAGCTGGATGCATTGGCCCCTGAAGCATTTCTCCATGGGACTCTTGGGTACTGACCTGACCCCTCTACCCCACTTCCAGCTTTGATCACACTCGGATCCTCATTAGAAGACCATGTGACAGGCGTGACACTGGATGACTCAAGCATTGCATCTGAACATGCTGCTCTCCCCCCACAGCCTTCAGTGTGCTGGTTCCACACTGTTCCCAGCCCAGTCCCGGTCTTTACTTCCTCTTCCTCTTTCCCAGAACCCAAGTGTGTCAGTCCACCTGGAGCCCTAATTTGGGAGCCCTGTAGTCCTGGGGTGCTGGGCTCCACATCCCTGCTGCACTGCCTGCTTGCTGGTGTGGGTTTGCCCCGCGCCTGCCCTCCTCACCCTGCTCGCCCACCAGCGTCATCAGAAGGTGCTGCTCCTTCTCGCTGGGCTTGCTCAGGGAGATGTGCCAGTCCCCATGGCGGCCGCTGCCGTGGCGGGGCAGCACCTCCTCCACCAGGGCCAGGAGCCGCAGCCCCCGGTGCTGCCGGAACACCTCCTACAAGGTGGAGAGGCCTGAGCTCAGGGAAGGACTGAGGCCCACAGGCCCATCTGCCTGTGCGCCCATCCCCCACACCGTCCTCAGTTCAGGGGTCAAAGGCCTGGAAAGACCTTCTGGCTGTAGGTCAGTTCTGGGGACTGCCTGCGAGCTGGAAGCTTGGTGCAGGTTGGGAACACCAAGATACATCTTGTTTACCTTGGCCTCCAGGTCTTCTCTGTTCCGGCTAGAGGAAGGCCTGGGCCTCCCTGAGACATGCACAGTGGACTGAGGGGACACACTGGCCCATGCACAGTAACAATTCCAGGACTCAGGCTTGGAGTATGGAAGACTATAGGAGCACTGCTCATGGTGCCTGGTGGTAAGTGTACGGTGCTGGGGACAAATACAGAAGGATAATGGGCCGACATCAGGTGCTTCCACAGCCACCAGGAAGCAGGGAGGTGGGAAGCAGAGTCAGGACTCCTCTGGGCCATCAGAGCAGACAGCAGCCAGCGCCCGTCACTGGAGAGACATCTGAGTGCTTTCACAGAGCCAGTGTGGAGACGGCTCGATGTGTAGATTGACTTGACCATGACATACGTGCTTCCATAATTTAAACCAAAGCAACAGCTGGCCCTAGACAGGAATTCAGTGAGGGCCGGGGCAGGAGACCAGGACCCTGCCTCCTGGTTCACAGGCTGCCACCTGTCCCTCCCTAGCCCAGGTGGGATGAGGAGATCCTCTAGTCTTCTGGCACCTCCCCAGAAGCCTTCTCTGCACTCCATGCAAAACTGAATCCACTGCTTGGGCCTCTGAAGGCCCAACCAGACCAGAGTGCCCGCCCTGCTATGGAGCTGGGAGCCAGAGCTGCTGAGAGGCACAGCATCCTGTCAGGCCTCCCTGATCTCTTTTCTACTGCATCCCGGGCTAATGCACTGTTCCCTGGTTGTCATGCCAATCTGAAGGCCACTAGGGTGACTGAAATGTGGGATCCATTTCTTGTTCACTGGCCTCCCAGCCCAAAGCTCAGCTCTAACCGTGAGTGCCAGGAGGCAGCCCTGCAGCTGCCAGGGCAGCCCGAGAGATGTGTGAGAGGACAGGGCGGGCCCATACCTGCCTAAGCAAAGTTCCTGCACTGGAACCTGCAGTCCCACTGCTCACAAAGCAATGCCCTCTGACCCATAGTGAGCCTTCCCTGCTGCAGCACTGTACTCACTGTGTACACCCATCTCTTTTTGGGTGGAGACATCTGCCTGGCCTAAGCCCACGGGTGTGCTGACTGTAGACTATTAGGCGGGGAAACAGTGTATGTGGCAAAGGGAAAGCCCTGGCTTTGGAACCAAGTAAATCTGGGTTCAAATCCTGGTTCTGCCATTTCTCAGCTCTGTGACCTTCAGTTCCCCATCTGACAATGTGGGCTCAGTGGGGGAATTAAAAGTAATCATTCAATCACATGGTTTGGAGCAACTCACCCTTCACATTGTTCACCAAAATTAATTCTAAAGCTTTCACAAGTAAGCATAGAAGGGTATCACCCAAGATGATGGACTGCCCTTAGAAATATTGAACTCAAAGTTGTGTGTGTGTGTGTGTGTGTGTGTGAGGGGGGCGGAGAGAGACAGAGAAAGCTCAGTTCTTGCCAAAGAAGCAATGACACCTCTGTAGCTGTGAGAGCATCTGGAGCCCAGATCTTGGTTTTTAAACTTTTTCTCGTGAAAAGAAACCAGAACTCCTTGGAGAAATGGTGGAGTCTGGGGCTGGGAGGGCCGAGCATGATGCAATGTGCCCTCAACTGCTGCCTCAAGTGAGTGAAGGTCGAGTCTTGCCTGAGGGTCAGCCCTGCTCTGGTTCCTGAGTTCTGATCACCCACCCCTTTGTACTAAAGCTTTTTCCCTTTCAGGATTCTTACTAAAGGCCACCACCATTTTCCCCTCCCTGTCCTCGTCCTTGTCCTCTGGTGCGTCTCCTGGTTGTGCTGAGTGAAGTACCTGATCCTTGTGTGTCTAGGACGAGGTTCTCTTCTGCATGACAACACCTCAGGATTTACCACTTTATCTTTCTGCTTCCTCACCTGGACTTGCCCCCGCTGGCTCCGTTCGGTTTGCTATGGCATCCCAGGTGAAGTTGGAAAAGCTGGCTAGTCATTATTACTTCTCCATACTTTACAAATCAAATTCCTGAAGCTGTAAAACTTGCCCTGAGATTCTGAGGGAACATTTCTCCCTATCTTTTTCTGAAGATGTGGGTTCTGTGTGGTCACTATTTTTACATTCATAAATTCCTATTCTCTTCAACTGTATCAAGGTCATTAAATACAAGGAAAGGCTGAGGATCTGCTCCAGATTACAGGAGACCAGACGCAGAACTACCTGCAATGCATGGTCCTGGGTCACAGCCTGGACCAGAAGGGGGAAAGCTACAACTACAAAGTTACTGGAACCACTGGCAAAATTTAAACAAAGTAGATAGATTAGATACAGTTTTGTACCACTGTTAATTTCCTGATATTGCAACTGTATTGTGGTTATCTAAAAAAATATTCTTGCTGAGGAAATACAATAATTAGGGGTAAAAGAGAGTGATGCCTTCAACTTCTTCTCAAATGGTGTGAAAGGAAAGTGTTGTGGTGTGGGTCTGGAGTGTCCCCAAAAGGCCATGGGTCAAAGGCATGGTCTGCAGCCCATAGTGCTATTGGGAAGTAGTGGAAGTGAGGCAGGGCAGGTCAGGGAAAATGAGGTCTGGGAAACAGCAGCCAACAATTCAAAGGGAAACACTGTATTAATGAATGACTTGATTAAAAGCACATAGGCACTATTATCTTGCCTTTAGGTCTTAAACCCTCTCAGCAAGCTGCAACATTTAGTAAAAAGAAAAAGAAGAGAAAAAGAGCAACCCTACCTCTGACCTGACCCACTCTCCTGAGTGATTAGCACCCTCCAGGAATGAGCAACACCATCTTTGAAAAGGCGCTTGTCCTGGACAAAACACCGGGGAAAATGGCTCCTCTGGCACACAAATTTTACAAAGGAAAATACTATCACGAAGATAGACAACTGCTTGTATGGTGCACCTGGCAGGACCCACCCTTTGTTAAAAGAGAGGCCCAAATACTCATGTCATTATGTCCTCAAATTTAGTAAATGGGCCAACCGTGAAACTCTCTGGGCCCAAGTGATAAGACAATGTGACAGCAAGAATGACAGAATATAGCAGATGTCTAAAACAAAGGGAGCACTCTTCTCTAAGGCAAATTCAAGCCGACCCCCAACCCACTTTTCCACCATAAATACTCTTGATGTTACAGCACCCATTGCAGCTGTTATCAGCTGTGCCCACACCCATGTCTGGGCTGGGTACTACATTTCTATCTTTGCTTCATTAATAAACTTTCTTGGTCTCTACCTCGATGCGTCCTAAGAAAAATTTTTTTGTAACAACATAATGAACTTGGTACCCAGGGGCCAGGCAGAGGTGTCCTCTGTTTGGGAGCCTCGCTGGTTACCATAATAGAACCTTTACAAGGTGGGGCCAGGTGGGAGGAAGTGAGGTCACCTCACATGACCTTGACCATGACCTTGAAGGGACATTAGAACCTTGGCCCCTCCACTCTCTCTGCTTCCCACATGCTGTCATGTGGGCCTCCTCTCCCACTCACTCTCTACTATGGATTCCAGCCTTTTGGCCCAAAAGCAATAGAGCCAAGTGCCCACTGACTGAATTTCAGAAACCATGAGCCAAAATAAACTTATCCTCCTTATAAGTGGTATATCTCAGGTATTCTGTCACAGCAAGCTGACTACCATGGATATACTTAAGGAAAAGGGGATTAAAGCTGTGAGAAGACATCTCAACAAAGGAACCACTAAATATATTGAGAAAGTGAAATAAGCACCAGCTGTTAATAATGACTGATGCTCAAGTCCACTCATCATTACGAAAGTGCAGATAAAACCACAATTGAGATCTATAATACATTTGCTCCTCTTCTTACCCTACACGCACACGCAAAGAATGAAGAAAACAAGTATTGAGAGAATGTAGAGAAACTGGAACCGTGGTGTGCTATGCTGGTGAGAGTGAGAAATGGTGCAGCCAGTGTGGAAACTGTGAATAAGGTTAGAGTATGATCCAAAAACCCCACTTCTGGGTATACACCCCAATGAATCAAAAACAGGGTATTGAATATAGTGTGAACAGCACTGCTCACACTAGCCAAAATAGGGAAGCCAGAGTCCTGCTGAGCTGATTCTCACTCCCAAAGTCATTGAATGGGCAGCACTGGCCACCTTTGAAAGACAGGACAAAAAATGTTACTAAAAATAGGAACTGACTGACAGTCTGCCAACTGTCCCTTCTCCCTGGCTGAAGAGCAGACATCTTTTCTTTTTATTCCTTTTATTTTATTTATTCTTCAGTGCTGGGGATGGAAGCCAGGCCTTGTGCTAGGCTAGCTCCGACTACCGAGCCTACCCAGCCCTGAAAGTCTATTCTTTAAAGGAAAATGGAAGGCCTCTGCCGGAGAGGACACCAGAGACAACCGTGGGGGAGGGCACCGTGCGAGGGAGTGAATGAGCACTGACACTCCACACACACATGTGTAATGGAGACGCCCTGGCACTACCCCACAGAGCACGGAACCAGCAAGTCACGTCCAGGAAGCTGTTTCCACAGTTGGATCAATCACCAGGAGGAAAAGCCTGAGCTTCCAAATGAAATGGACAGGACACCGTCCTGAGAAGCCACAGTGGACAAGCTCCACTCCCAGGCTCCAAGCTTCCCAGCAGGGGCTGGGGTGTGGTCCGGTGGTCAGCACTTGCCTATCCAGGGTCCAGCCCCAGCACCAAGAACAACCTGCCCAACCAGCATTCTGATGGCCTTCTTAGAGAGCTGTGCGCTAACACGGGCAGACACTGGAGGGAAAGCTAAGGCCAAAACGAGCAAGGGGAGGAAAGTAACCCATACAGGAAGAAGACAATTTTATTATGAAGCTCAGAATGGCCTCGAACTTGAGATCCTCCTTCTCAGCCTTCCAAGTGAGGACTGCCCGTGTGTGGCAACACACTGCACATGAAAACAACTTTTACAAAAGACTTCACTGGGCGTAGTAGTGCATGCCTGTAGTCCCAGCACTCAGGAGGCTGAAGCAAGAGGATCACTAGAGCCTGGGAGTTCAAGGCCAGCCTGGGCAACATGGAGAGACCCTGTCTCAAAAACCAAAATCCAAACAACAGAAAAAGACTTCAATATCATTTTAAACAATGGTAAAAAAATTTTTTTTAAATTCCATACAGAAACAAAATGAGTCCTTTAGCTTTTTTTTTGGTTTGCTCTTTTTTCAGCACTGGGACTTGAACTCAGGGCCTTATGCTTTCTAGGCAGGCACTATACCACTTGAACTACCAATGACTACTTTAAGTTAAAAAGAAAAGCAGCTAAGAAAGAAAGAGTCCTTAGAAAATTTATGATATGAAAGCACTCTGGGGTTTTTTTTTGGGGGGTGGTGGTGGGTGCTGGTTCGTGCCTGGGTTAGGCTTGCTCCTCTGCAGTAAGGACAGCACCTTCCCTGGTCCCCCAGTGCTGTCCTCCCTCCCCAAGTAAGCCTAGCTTAGCACTCACACAGTCTGTGTTCTCTGTCATGTTCAGAATGCTATAGTAAGGACAGCACCTTCCCTGGTCCCCCAGCACAACACCCCAGCAGCACCCCTGTGTGAACCAGCTCCCCACTCACACAGTCCATGTTCTCTGTCATATTCAGAATGATGTAGTTCTTCCCAGCCAGGTTGCTCCAGTCCTTGCAGATCACCTGTGCCAGAAGACACAAGCAAGGGTGATATCATGAATCCCCAGGAGAGGAGGCAGGAGAGAGGGATGGAAACCTTCAAGAAGCCAGCAGGTGCAGATCTAGGGAGAAGGAGGCAAGCTCTGCGAGGTGACATGCCAAGAACCCAGCCAAAGGTCCACAGAGCCTGGTGTCTATCCTCAGGGACCAAGCAGGGGTCTAGGTGAGAAGAGAAGGCAGGCAAGATGCCCAGGGAGTGGGCGCTGTCAGAGGCTGGCCTGCCTCAAAGCTTTTTAATGTTCTGTGGCCAGAGGCAGGGCCGATGACCTGAGACCCCTTCTCCTCCCTTCCCTCCCTTCTGTGGCATGAACACTGACGTGTGCAGGTGCACGCTCGAGTGTGTGGCACACGTTGGTAGTAAGGGCCGGAAGAGCGCTGTCAGCCACCCACTTGCTGCTCCAATAAGCACCAGACAAAGGAAAGCCAGGTGGCCGTCACGCTGTCCAAACACTTTGCAGGTGAGTGTGGAGGGACAGCCACTGCTGGGCCAGAAGGTGTGCATCCCACCAGTTCCAGGGGACTGTACTGCTGTAGAAGGGTCTCCCCTAGCCAGGCAGATCCAACACACTCCTCCACAGGGAGGGCCAGACTCTGGGGAGGAAGAAGCTGCCTCTCAGCCTTACCTGAGTGGAGTCCCAGGGTGTTCTGGAGAAGACTTCAGCAGCCTGTCCTTCCTGGGGCTGCTGGCTGGGACCTTCCTTCCCCAAGGTCACTGAGAAAGGTGTCGGTTCCACATCTCCAGAGGTGGGTGGGAAAGAGGCTGAGGTCTTGGGGTAAAAGGGACCCTGATCCAGGGCCTCAGCCCCAGCTGGAGCTTCTGTTTGCAGGAAAGAAAGCGAGGACGGCTGCTCCCCTTGCTTGCTGGCCAGCCCGGCTGCACTCACTGTGGCCTCTACATTTGCTTCCTGGGGGACCTCGAACTCTACCCCAAGCCCAGCAGCTGGCAACATGGTACCCCCAGCCTCCTGGCTGGTAAAGTCCTGATCCCCCAGGGTCACGGTACTTGGGGTGACTGAGGGTGGTGACAAGCTGGGCTCCAAACTGCTCTCCCCCTCCACGCCTGAGGAGGCCTGCTCCCCAGAATCCTCGTGCCTGTGTCCACTGGCCCCAGGAGTCTGGCTGCTGCTGCTGGGAGAAAAGTCACCGGCTTGAGTTGTGGCTTCTTGGGACCCGCTCACCACCGGGAGCAAATCCTCCTCCTCTTCCTCCTCCTCCTTTTGCACCTCCTCCTTCTCCCTCTCTTCCTCCTCCTCCTCTTCCTCTTCCTCTTCCTCCTCCTCCTCCTCCTCTAGAGGCATATGCCAGGGAGGCTCAACCAGATTCGTCTTGGGCAGGGCAGAGGGGAGGTTCGGTAGGTCCTGGGCCTGGCCATCGTCTTCCATGGAAGCTGCCTTCTCCGTGAGGTCTGGGAAGACGTAGTCTAAGGACAGAGATGGATTGCTCACTCACTCGTTTCACCAGCAGATGTATTTGGAATTTACTGAGAGCATTTCCCGGAGTTAAAGAACCATGATATACTCATGGGGGATGGTGGAACATTAGGAGGAAATGGGGCTGGGGAGGAGGGTGGGGCCAGCCTGTGGAGGAACACAGGAGCCCAGCTACACATGGCTTCCTTTATGATAATAAAAATAACACTCAGGTGCAGAGTACTTGCTTGGCATGTATCGAGCCCTGGGTTCCATCCCAGCACTGCAAAATAACAACAACAATAATTTACCACCCAAATTCAATGAGCACAGGAATGCAGGAGCAGAAAGCAGAAGCTTGCATACGACACCCTGAGCAGGCTTGAGCAGTGGCTTCTCCACTGTGGTGATGTGGCTCTGCTCATCCAGGGACCTTCCTCTAGCCCTTTTTAGTTTAGTTATTTTTCAGTAGGGTCTCATGCTTTTTTGCCCAGGCTGGCTTCAAACCTTAACCCTCCTATCTCTTCCTCAAATACCTGGGATTATAGGTATGTACCACCATGCCTGGCCCTGTAAATTCAAATTTCTGATGACTGGAAGAAAAAGTCAAGGAGATGCCTCCAGAGCAAGAGCAAAAACAAAAAAACAAGACAGAAAAGTTTAACAAGACGAACAATGTGGGAGGCCTAATATCTACCTAATGTGATTTTCAGAAAATCAAACCCACAAAAATGGAGAATAGTGGGGAGAAAGCAAAGAAAAAGTGCCTCAGGGCTGGGAACACAGGTCTTCACAGTGAAGGCATCTCATCAGAGTGGCCAGCCAAGGACTCACAGCTGACCTCATTCTCACTGAATTCTGGAGTTCTAAGCAGCAAAAGGAACTAAAAGCTGTCAGAAAAAGGCTTACCTACAAAGGAACAAGAAATTCATTAACAAATTACCATCAAGCTCCTAATTAATAACACTAGACTTCAGGAAGAAACTGAAAAAATGCAGAATTCTGAGAGTTTATTTTGAAACTAGAATTTTATACCCAACTAAACTATTATTCAAGTGTAGTTGCAAAATGAAGAGTGTTTTACACATGTGAGGGCTAAAACGTTTCATTATCCATAGATTCTGAGAGAATTATTTAAGGATCTTCTCCGAGAAATCCAAAAGAAGAAGAAACACGAGGGAAGTCATGAAAATAAACCTCAGGACAGAGCAGGTGCAGCGGGCCTAGGATGCAACAGGTTAAACACAGGCCAGGGCTGGCTGTGGCTCAGTGGTAGGGCTTTTGCCCTGCATGTATGAAGCTCTGGCTTCAACCCCAGCAACACAGAAAAGAAAAGGCAAAACAACAAACAAAACAAAACAGGCATTGAGAGAGGTCTGAGAACAGTTAGTACAAAAACAAAATTTGCTTCCCTATAGTTTTGCTGTATGACTTAGAAGCTAAGCAATCTTAGTCACAATTGAAAGCCCAGCATTTCAACTGTGATTTTAAATTGGTATTTAAGTGAATATTAGAATACTCAAATCCCCCACTTCTGTTAAGTGCAGTTTTTGAGTGGCAGAAACTCCTAATTCAAGGTCTGCCCTCTGCCTCCCCCACACCTCAGCACCCCACACTGACCAGTCCAGCATTACCGTTTGTGAGCAAAGGACAAGACTCACAGGACATTCAGGGGAAGCCAGCCTCCCGGGGAAGTATGAGGGTGACAGAAGAAAACAGCTGGCCTCTAAGAACAGTTAACACAGCACACGGAAGAGAACTTAGCGGAATGTCTTAAGAAAGATTCAAGAGTTAAATCATACCTCTAAAACAAGTGTAGGAAAGAATAGACACTTCAATATGAGTAAGAAACTACACAGAGAAATCTATTCAAAATAAAATGCAGTACATAAAATGTAATTGAAAGGGGCTGGATGGGTGGTGAATAGAAGGTAACAGTAAGAGTCTGATGGGTACTTAGGAAATGCAACACAAGGCCTCTCACAATCATGAGACTTCACTATGAGGAGGTTAATCAGACAGCAAAGCACAAGAATTAAGTGAAGACATGGACAAATGAACATAAAGCCAACAGCTGGGGAGCATGTTGCAATGGATCATGGGAAGTGATGAGGAAAGAAAATATTTGTAAGGAGACCCGAGGGAGAATCCAAGGTGTGAGTTGATCAGCTGATGAGGCAGCGGTCAGCAGTTGGTGAGGTCAGGAAGGGAGGCCGCTGGAAACCTTCAGAAGCAGAGGATGGGCTCAATAAAGCCTCAGACATGGCAGCAAGGTGGTGGGGTGGAAGGTCAGTGTCCACCACAGAATCCTCTGAGGTGGAGAAGGAAGGGCATTCCCAAGAAGGCAGGCTGGTCACGACAACCCTCTATCCCATTGATGCTACCTCTGCAGGAGTCCCAGTCTCCACGCCTGACTCCTCCTCTAAGATGGCAGTACCATTGCCATGCTGTTGGCCACATGATAAAGGCTCAAAAATTCAGCCGCTCACTGACCTGGACTTTAGTTTTCCACACGTCCAAACAAAGGTATAGGTCTATATAATGTCTCAGGTTCTTTCTTGCACTGATACATTAAGCTTTGGAGAGTCTGACAACTCTGCTGTCCTAGGTAAGAGTAAAGCAGAGTTCACTAGCTCACGGACTCTTGGTGCCAAGCAGCAGGTGTGCTCCTGTCTACTCCCAGCCCCTCAACAGTGCCTGCCTGCCAAGTAGAAAGGAGAACGAAGTGTTTGTTGAACCATTGGCTCCCACCTTCTGCCTCCTGCACCTGTTAGCGCATGGATTCTTTCTTACTATCTTCTCCTGCCACCTGAAACGTAATCATCTGTGTCAGCTCTGTCCATCCTTCCTACACTGTCTCTCCAGTGAGCTCGTTTCCACCAATGCCTGCACGGTGTCTGTGGCCCCACGTCTCCCACCAAGCTTTGGCTTCCTTCCTGCCTCTCACCTCTGGCAACACCGGGGCTCACTGGCATTTGGAATACACAGACCTTTCTTGTTTCTTCACCCCTCTCAAGACCCAAAACAACTCCTTTCCTCTGACTTCTTGATCATGTTTTATCAACTGTGTGACCTTAGACAAATTATTTAACCTCTTTGTCTCCCTTTCCCTATCTGTGGACTGTGATAGTGTTACCATGTGAGGCTGTAGCCAGGGTGCCACAAGCTAACTCTGGGCACAGGCCACAACGCAAACACTTGACTAATGTTAGTTGCCCCACCACCTTCTCTCTCGTTGTCATGTTGCAAAGTCATCAGGAAAAACAGCACTGCTCTGGAAGTCCAAGTCTGCAAGATAAGTGCTTCAGGAACAGAGGCAGGCCAGGAAAGGAGTGGCCATCAGTGAGCAAGCATGAATACAATCTGAAACTCAAGATGCTCTTATAACAGAATAACTTAAAGGGAAGCCCAGCGGGGCCTCGCCAGGGCCACAGGTGTGATGGAGCTGAGAGACGGGTGTGAGGGCTGTCAGACACTCAGTCCAACTGAGAATTCCGAATGATGACCAAAGCACCTAGGCTTTGGGGACCAGGATGTAAAGAGGAGGTGGGTTGGAACTGGCTCAGGGGCAGAGCCCTTGCCTGGCAAGGATGGATGGAGTCCATCCCCAGCACCACAAATAAAACAAAATAAATATGTAAAAATTTAAAAGTAAAATAAAAGAGAGGGAGCCAGAGGCAGAGGAAAGGAAGGGGCACAGCAGAGTCTCTGGGCCCTCCAGCCCCTTTCTTAGTGACACAGCAGTGGGGTCCCCAAAGCATCTCCTTTGGCTTGTACCTGTCTGGGACCAAGGCACACCTGCAGAGTACCGTCAGACACCCCAAACCTGGACACAGGGATGCCCAGGGGACACATTACAGATGGCATGAAAGCTGGTCAAAGGGTTGGCTGCCCCAGGAAGCCAGCACCAGCACAGTGTGCCTAGAAACCCCCATAGATCTCCCTCCAGCGAGAGGCTCCAGAAAGGCCGCACATGTGGAAGGAAAGGAAAGTCTGAGCTGTGAAAGAACACCCAGAGACATCCTGCCTGTTGGGGGGAGAGCCCCAGAGAACTGCTGGGGTTTGGGGCTTCAGAATGCCACTGAACCACTGAACCACTGGGGCAGCGCTGTTAAGTTACAACACCCCCTGGTGGCATTAATTGGAAACTACACATTTCCTAAAGCCCTGGCAACACAGCTCTCCAAACCATAGGTGGATGGGGCCTGCCATCAAAGGGTCTCTCCACCCCTTCTCAGATGATGGGGCTCAGAAAGGGGAGGACACAGGCTCTGAGTCCTGAAGCCGAGACCTGTGGTAGTCACTTGCAGTTGTAGACATGTAGGCTCCTGTGGGGTTAAAGCCACTTCCTGGTCAACACCCAGACTTGGCTTGGGAGAGCCAGGAAAGTGCAAGTTGCTCCATCGTGTCTCTATAACCACACCAGGCTGAGTCACACGAGCAGCAGCTTCAGAGCTCTACAAAGGATGCAGAATTCTGGATCTCCCTTGCCTCCTAACGGGATGCACTGCACATGCATCTCTCTATGATGGGACACTGTTACAAGGATGACACCGTGGATGCCTTCTGGCCCCCAGAGGGCGCCCTGTCTCCCTGGGGGTCTCTTGCAGCCACCCGCAACCCCTCTGATCCTCCAGAGTTCCTCATGGCAAGTGCTCCCTGCAGGTGTCACTGTGATGGGGTCTGTGGATGTGGGCTCCTAACACTAGAAGGGACCCCAGAGGTTGACTGATGGAATTCCCAGCCCTCTGCAGGTAACTGGTAAGTCTAGAGTCACCTTCAAGAATTTGTCTTAGCCTCTTTAGAGGCATTTCTGTCTTGTTGGCTTTTTCTCCTTCCAATTTTCTTAACCCAACTGTGATGGTTTACCACTTAAGCCCATTACTTTCTATCTAACGCTAAGCATTCCTTAGAGAGAAAATCTGCATATTCTCCCAGCAGTTCTATATTTGGCCTTCTTTTCTCTGGGACTGACCAACCTGAAGGTTCTTATTCCCAACCTTCCCCTTAC